ACCATAGATTTCCTCAATCTGTGAATGTCTGTCTATTTGTGTGTCTGTGTGTGTGTCTGTCTGTCTGTGTATCTGTGTGTCTGTGTATCTGTGTGTCTGTCTGTCTGTGTGTCCCTATGTGTGTCTCTATGTGTGTGTCTGTGTGTGTGCATCTGTGTGTGTGTCTGTCTGTCTGTCTGTCTGTCTATCTGTGTATGTGTGACATGCATGTGGGTGCCCATGGAGGCCAGAAGAGGGTGGATTCCCTGGAGCTGGAGTTACCTGTGATTGGAACTACAGGTAGTTCCGAGCCACCAACATGGATGGGGGAACTGAACTTGGGTCTTCTGAAAGAATAGCAAGCGCTCTTAAGCACTGAGCCATCTCCCCGGCTCCCCGAAGCTCCTCTTTTTAAAAACATTTTTGAACACCTACTTTGTCCCCAAATCCATGATAAGCATTTGATTTACTTGTCTCGTTTGCTTGCTTGCTTCCCTGGGTCTTGTGTATCCCAGACTGGATTAAACTCCTTGCATAGTAAAAGATCTGATCCTCCTGCCTCCACCTCCCCAGTGCTAGAATCACAGGCATATGCTACCACAACCGATCTTTCAACTCTAAGGATCGAACCCGGGACATTGTGCATAGTAGGCAAGCATTGTACTGAGCCACACCCCCAGCCCCGTAACTGCTTTGTAAGAGTGAGGCATCACAGGAGAATTTACCTGTTTGTCCCCACTTTACTGAAGAGCCTTAGTCCTCCAGAAGTAGGATATTGTAGGATAGAATCAAGAGCTGAGTTGTAATGTTATTTCCTGCTCTCCTGTGGTCTCCATCTAAGCCTAAGCTCTTTTAACAGAGTTTAAAGTAATTGTCTCCAAAGTGTGTCCCCTGTAACATGTAACTCTAGGAGTCCCTACAGACCAAGTAGAAAGAGTAAAACTTCATTTAAAAGAGAACCAGAAAGCAGAGGGGGAGGGAGAGAGAGCAAGGGAGACTACATTAAGACATAGAGATAGCCTTGTGGTTGAGTGTAGAATCATGTCTGAATCCCATTTCCGCAACTTGCTGAAGCGCGCAACCTCAGGCGGAGATTACTTAACTTTGCTAGAATCACACTTCCTCTTCTGTAAACTGTGCCGGAATTACCTACCTCTCTGGTCTGATAATAAGATTAAATGAGATGATGTATTGTAAAACCTGGAAGCTGATAGGGCGTTATGGACATCCTTTCCTCCTCCCAAACTGTCGTGGAATTAAAAAGAGGATTAAAGCTAAGTAGGGCATGAATGGCGCCTGTAAAGTTCACTTGGCTCTTCACGTCTTACTCCTCTGAACAGGTTCCATGTCACCTGAGGAGAAACGCATCCTCTGACGAGGTCTACAAGCTAATAGTTAATTACAGGATCCCTACCCCCTCAAGAATAACAAACTCTATAAATTCTCATATCCCCGGTAGAGCATAACTTTGCCCTCACATAACTTCTACATACCTCCCGTACGCCTCGAATCATTTCTCTATCTCTTATAACACCTAATGCGGTGTGAATGCTCTGTAGAAAGCCATTACACTGTATTGTTTGCAGAATGATGGCAATACAGATACAATACAGTAACAACATCTGTATTGTTCAATACAATACTTCTCCTTCCCCCACCTGCAAGCATTTCTGCCTGGGGGGTTGAATTTAGCCATACAGTGCTCAGGGACACAGAAGGACAGTTTTTCCCCCAGAAAAATTCAGAGTCGTACGTCTCTCTGCATTCCAGGGATTTCTTTCACATCCAGGTATCATGTGCTAATGTTAAAGTAGGTTCTAAGGTTGTCGCATGTTTCCTGTCTTCCTGGTACATTGGCAAGAACTGCCTGAGTTCACAGCCATGTTCCACTGCGTAGCATTATTCGGTCACACTGGACGCCTTCCCTCTGCTTTCAGAGTGCCACAGAATAGAAGGGAGAAAGGGAAAAACTTTATGATCTTTGGGGTTTGTTTGTTTGCATTGTGTTGGGGAGTGCATTGTCTGAGTATGCGTACATACACTTTGTGTGAGTGAGTGCTGAGGTCAGGGGTTGATAACAGAAATCTTCCTCACTCTTTCGTCTTACTGTTTGAGACCCAGAGCTTGCGGAAATAGTTAGTCCAGCTAACCTCATTGCTCCGGATTCCCTCGCTCTACTTTCTGGTGCTGGAGTTACAAACAGGCTGCCATGGCCACCAGAATTTACTTGAGTTGTGGCTATCTCTGGTCCTCTTGCTCTTCCAGAAATCACTTTTAACTTCTGAGCTCTTCTCCCCTCCCCCGCCACAGACCGTCTTTTATTTTTATAAAACCCTAGAATCACTAAAGACGAAGCATTTCAGCCTTGTCACTTAGCAGTGGCAGTGACAACGCATTCTAGCGGTCAGACTGCAAACGAGATCTGACCTAGAATCAGAATCCCGAGTTTCGAGTCCAGGCTGTGTCTGTGCCTCAGTCTCTATGACCTTCACTCGGTCATTTCCATCTTCCAAGGCCTTCAGCCACATAAGGAGCTAGGCATGGCCACTGTCGATGTGCAGTTGGAGGCTGAAGTGTGATCACTCTGTGAACCATAAGGCAATGGTCACAAGAAAAGCATCACCAAGGTTCTTTGGTTCCTTAGGATAGGTGTGATGGCACATGGCTGTGCCTAAAATCCCAGCCCTTGGGAAGCGGAAGCAGGACGAGAGCAGACTCAGATGCATGGTGAGACCCTGTCAAGAACAGAAGACAGAGGGAGAAAAGGGATGAGATGGAAGGATGAAGGAAAGAGACAGACAGACAGACCCTTTGGAGGCATAGCACCTGGGCTTACAAAGAGTATTCACATACCAGCGTAGGTCATCTTCAATTGTGCATGCTTAATTTTGTGGCTCCTGAAAAGAAAATGTTGGTGTACAGCAAAGCCTGGGGAACAGAATAAGCGCACAATGTTTTCTCTGAATTATTTACAAAGCTCTGAACCAAACACATCAGGCTCAGCAAAGCCCGACCCAGTGCATTTCTACCCCCGTTCCCTCAAAGAGCTGGTTTAGACACACTTGATGTACACTCCCAGGAGGGGAAGCTCAAGTGCGGAGCTCTCCCTCTCTGAACTGCCTGCGCTGTCTTTTCCCCTTAAAGCCACTTTCCAAGAAGGTCAAATGGATGAATAGGCTGAAAGAGACACTGACCCAAATGGGCTGTTTCTCAACCAAACTGCCATCTGGGGATTTCTCTCCAACACAGGAACGAGATAGAGCTGGGCTGGGTGTTGCTCCAGATGGAGAACCGAAGGTGCTTTCCCAGATTGCCAAAGAGCTGCCTGCATTGTTCTCAGAAACCCAGTGGCAGCAATGCTTCCAAGGTGGCCTTTGCTTGAAAATGGCTTCCCTGCTGAAGTTTTCAAAGCCCTATTTTCCTAAGAAGTCTGTTTTCCTCTGTGGACTAAGGCATCAAGGTGATGACTCTACAGGCGCTCGAGTGACAACAGCCGTCATTGGTGTCATTATTTGTGTTGAGGTGCATCTCCATAGCAGCCCACACTCACAGTGCACCTTGCAATTGTTTCTTAGTGATTGTCCTCACAAGATGTCCGACAGGCAGAAGATGACAAGATTAACGTTTCTGTATCGCCTAAAGGGAACTAAGGGAAGCAGAGATGTGGAGTTAGCTGGCCGCATCGCTGCTCACAGAAGATCTGTTTAGAGACGCCCACACTTTGGCTCCAGACTTCTTTGGCACTTATTCTACCTTCATTTATGATGCCGCTCAGCTTTGACTCCTGTTTATAAATACAACACAGGGAGGGGGCAGGCTGGGCAGCAGAACTGGAACTGGAGAGTCTCCATATGCAATAGAACCAATGAACATCTAAACAGCTCCATTATTTATGACTAAATAGAACCAGAGGGAATGCTTCCTCCAACTCCCAGAAGCTTCTTTATTCCTAGTCCCGTGCTTCTTTGGATCCCACGGTTCCAGTGGTTCCAGGGGCTTGCCTTTCTTTCTTTGCCGGTTTTTTTTTTTCTTTTCTTGTCTACTACCCACTTCCTTTATTTAAAATTTAAGTTACTTTAATGCCAACTAGGAGAGCTGAGACACTGCTTTCCTGAGAGTTTCGTGTTCTGCCACCTGAACTGGACTGGCCTCTAGGTACTGTCTCTAACAAAGATGACCAGGCAGTACTGTTTCCGTGTCATAGGTAAGAATCCACACCTTCCTTTCCCACAGCCTCCCCTCTCCCATCTATGGCTTTGTCCCTGCCTGTGGAAGTGGGCAGCTATCCTTGTCCACCTCTGATCTTTCCTTAGGGAAACTAGACCTTGTCTTTAGGTAGTGGGACAGGGTCATGTATCATGACATGGCTGGGGCTGAGAGTTCTCTCCTAATGCTGTGATCTCTGTAGGAAATGTGTTGACATTATTCAAAGGAGTAAAAAGACCCAGACCTTTATGGTCAGTGACACTTTTATGGCCCCTACCCTCTAACCATAAGGCTGTTGTTCCATACTCAGATTGCTGACTTATTCAAGCAAACCTTCCTCTTCAGAAGGGAGAGGGAAACCTCCTTTTGCCTGAAACGCCATACTTTAGCTGCTAATTATCCTGCCTGTCCATGCTCAGTCCTGGGGCACAATAAACGAATTAGTTCAAACCCAAAGTGTACCCCTGAAGCTGCCATCCTATTCAGTCGAGACCTCTGATTGGAGGGTTTCTGCCCTCATCTTCCACCGAATGCTCTTAGGTTCTTGGTGAGCTTCCTGCTGCGCTTCCCTTTTTGAACGACTGCATGTTTGCAGTGGGGTAGAACAAGCCATGAGTACATGAACCAAGTCCACAGCCCCTGGAGTCTTTGCAAGCAGCGTTTGCAAACAAGCGTTATGACTGAGTGTCGGGTCTGCATTTTGGCCAGTATCAAGCAGAGTGAACCTAGAAAGATACAAAGCAGAATGACCTCCTGTAAATTCCCAGTGACGCACTCATGGCCACACCTACTTGATTATAAAAGACTGCTGAGAAGCCTGACTCAGACACAAGTCTCCAGGGCACAGAAGGAGTCACCTCACTGGCGCTCGCTCGTGTAGACCAAGGTATTGTCCTTATCGCATCTGAGGCTGTGGGAATTGTCTTTTGTTTGCTCCTTGACTGTCTTCTCTCTAGGTACCTTCTGTAAGGCTATGGAATGTTCTCTTTCCTTCTCTCGTTGTTCCTGATTTGATGTGTGAGCTGGGATCACAGACTGAGAGAAGAATTCTCTTTCTCGTGATAATAAGGAACCGAGGGAGCAGCTGAACAGGATTTCTTGTCCTGGAGATAGGATATCTCTAGTGACAAAAATGAGGGAGATCTGCACGTTCCCAGGCTGTCAGGCTGTTTCTCCCTGGCCTCTGCTTAAGGCAGAGACCTCACTCGGGTGGTTTTCATTCTTCTCCTTTTCCTGGCCACCTTACACGGAATGCCTACTAGTGTGACGGGATGGGCTGGACACAAACAATGCCAGGAGAGAGAAAACATTCTAAAGCGAATGCCCAAGGTGGTAGAGGGGACCAGAGCATACACAGATAATGGAAGGAAGTGTGAAGCAGAATAGAGGAAAGGCTGGGCCACGTGAAAAGTCAGCCACTCACTGGGGTTTCTCAAGAAGCTCAAAGCAGGGTCACCACCCTTACGAGCACGGGGTTCAGAGGTGGGGAGCTGACAGCCACTGGTGTTCTCTTGCAGAAGTCAAGATGGCCAAAGTTCCTGATTTGTTTGAAGACCTGAAGAACTGTTATAGGTAAGAAACACATCCTACTTTTTGTGATTCAATGAACCCAACTAGGAGTTAAAGCAGCCAGCCAGGGGCCATGTTGTCAGGCCAGACTAGAGAAGACCTAAAAAGATGACACATCCAACATGCTAAACTGGTATTTCATTGAGAGAAATAGAAATTACAGAAGAATATTTTTGTTGCACACTGACTCCAGTGTAATTTTATACTGGCATCAGCCTAGGCACTCTAAAGAGTTGACGTGCCCTGCTTCAGCAGCAGGTTTTCACGAACTGTTTGAGAGAGAATTCATTCTCGGGAGACCCTGATCCCAGTCAGGAGGAAGAAACGGCTCTTGGGCATGTGAACTCACACCCACAGTCAAGCTTCAACTTGATAGAGAAGAGAAGTGAGCAGAGTTGAAATTCCAGAACATTCTTAACTAATGTGATATTCTTGTTGTTTTCTATTAATGTTAGTGATAATGAAAATATTGAATAATGAAAAAATTAAAATATTGCTTGGCTCCTGTCCAATACGAATCTGCTTTAGCGAGTATGATGTGTGTCTGTGGTGCTTCTTAAGTTTCTCTTCTCTTCTAAGGAGTTTCAGCCAATTAAGGCTCTTTGATTTATTAGTCATGCCTGATTTTTTTACAGATAAAGCACAAAGCTGTTTTAATAATTTCTAATTCCAAATTAGTGACAAATGAATTACTATGTGTGTAGACATGAATATGTAGAAGTCTTTAGCTTTTCAAAGATAAGAGTAATGGTGGGTGTGGGTGTGTTCATGTGACCAGGTTACTGTAGAGCCAATTCTCATCCTGACTGGGATCAGATTCTGCTAAAAATGGAGTAACTCCTAAACATCCACTAAGACCCATTGCTGTGTTAGAGCACTCGAACTCAACAGTGCCTGTGTCTAAATCAGTATTCAGGAATGTTGCCGGTATTACCTAAAGTTAATGTGGCCATTGAAATACGTATACCTACCAACCATAGTAAAATGATGAACAAAAATACAGTCTCGTTATATGTTTTTGACAGTGAAAATGAAGAATACAATTCTGCCATTGACCACCTCTCTCTGAATCAGGTAAGTCCATGATTATCATTCTTATAGAGTTGGATTTTCTCTTTTTCTCTTTACACACTAGCCCCTCTACCAGAAAAGCACAGTGAGGGGTTTGTTTCAACCTCACTAGAGTCTAAAATACATTTATTTTTTTTATTCATGAGACCACTTACCTCTCTAACCTGGTAGCTAACTGGCGTTCCTCATGTTCATTGACTCTTCCATGACAGAGAAGAGCTACCTGAAGCCCTTGTTTCTGGGCCAGGTTCCTTCAAAATGTTAATTTTGTCATCCTTAGCCAGTTGCTTCAGTCCACCTCACCTGGAATCTTGCTGACACCATTCTCTGACACTAACGCCAGAGGTCAGAGATAGCCCGATAGCCCACAGGGGTGAGGTGGAGGAAGCTAGCGAAAAGGAAGGGAAAACGTTGCACATCCTCAGTGAGTTATTTTGTGTAGCGGGTTTAAAAGCTCCTTCCAGAAGAACAGCTGTGCCGAAGGCATCCATGGGGACTGGATTACAAGCCCTCCCCCCTCCAGGGAGATCACCTTCTGCAGATGTTCACGTCCCTTATAATAAGTGGCCTTCTATTTGTATAAAATATGCATGCATTCTCAAATGACTTTAAATCGTATGTCGGTGACTTAGCCACACCTGCCACAATGCAAATGCTGTAAGAATAATTCTAAGTTATACTTGTCAACCAGTGACTACATTATTCAGGAAGTAATAATAAAAGGATTCACATATTCAGTACAGATGTCATTTATTTTTTTAAAAAAAATATTTTGAATCTTCAAGTTGGTTGAATTTGATCAGGCAATACAGGGGGCCAGAATATTTTGAGCACTCTCAAGTAGATGTCAGATCTCTTGATGGAAGGATCTCACTTACCAGGATCATGTGTTGACCTATGTCATCAAAATGTTTTAGTTTTGAGCATGAAATTGGGTGAAAAGACCTCCCCCACCCCAAATCATATGACTTCAGGGGAATCCAAAAAAGGAGAAAAGAAGGAAGGGAGCGGGAGGGAAGGAGGGGCAGTGGAGGATGAGGGGAGAGTGGGGGATGAAGCACAGGTTGGTTCCCCACAGCCAGAGTGGAAATCCCCCTCACTAAGTCTGTAGGATACGGTACAGACCCTACTAAAGAGTCTCCTCATGAGGTCGTAGGTCAGCTCTGAGGTGCCACTTCCTTTCCTCACAGAAATCCTTCTATGAGGCAAGCTATGGCTCGCTTCATGAGAAATGCACGGACAAATTTGTGTCTCTGAGAGCCTCTGAAACCTCAAAGATGTCCAACTTCACCTTCGAGGAGAGCCTGGTGATGGTGGCAGCGACATCAGACCAAGGGAAGGTTCTGAAGAAGAGGCGGCTGGGTTTCGATCAGGTCTTTGCTGAAGATGACCTGGAGGCCATGACCCATAATTTAGAAGGTAAGGGATAAAACATAACAAAAATCCAATTTTTTTTTATTTTTTGGCAAATGGCGACAATGGAGTAGAAAGAAAAATAAAACCTGGAACCAAAATAACAGGAAAGCAACCAGACATTGGCTTGATAACTATAATAAAGAAAACCTAAATGCGGCTCTTCTCCAAGGGGGAGAGTTCAAAGACAGCCTGAGTCTAGAACACTTGCTCAAGGGCTCCTTTCTGGGCTGCGTTGTGAAGGTCAAGTAGAGACCTTTGGTTGGAGAGAAAGCAGTCCAAGTCCATTAGCTCATGACCTCTACCAGTGCCACCTCCTTAGTCACGTTCCTCAATCTCTCTGGCCTCCAGTTCCCCATTCTGTGAATAGAGATGACCAAGTCTTACACCTCACTGGGTTCCTGTAAAGATTAAATAAGCCAGTACCTCAAAACAATGTAGACTAGAACGCCTAATGTGACATCATCACCCAAGTAATGTCAGCCATTGTTATTATTACTCCGATTGCCTTTGTTAATGTTGCACCACTACTAATTCTACTAATTTATTGATGACCACGCCCTTTGTAGGCTGCAAAACAACCTTCCCTCTCCTTTTCTATAAGAGGAAATGAGGCTCAGTCTCCACGTGGGAAACCCTCACGGCTAATTCCGTCCGTCCGACCTGACTATGAGAACCCTGGGTTTTTCTTTCGTGTCTTTGTTGTTCATTCCTCCACAGGAAATACAAATCAAGTATTCATTTTAATATAAAACCTAGACAACAAATACTTCTCCACCTAGAAAAAAATTTTAAATAAAACGAGGCATAAGAACAAACATTGACAGTCACTCCATTTTGTCACCCAGGTTTTAACCCTACCAACACCATGGCATGTCTCCTTAAAGCCTTTGGTGCATGCAGATGCACAACGAGGGCAAACATGTCCATCATCATCCCTGGAATACACACGATCTCATATCCAGCTTTTCTTATTTGATATATTATAGACATTCTACAGACAAATTTTTCAACACTCAAGTGACAATAAACATCTATGTCAATTTCTGTCCCCATTCATTTCCTTAGAACAGCATCCTAGAAGTGAAATTAGTCAGAACCTGAAGATTAATGAAGCTACTCATACACACACATTCCAGGAAAATGGTAGACTTGAACCTTTGGCACATATATATGTAACATATCACTGTGGTATACCATCTTTTTTTTTTTTTTTTTTTTTTTTTTTTTTTTTTTTTTTTTTTTTTTTTTTTNAAGACAGGGTTTCTCTGTGGCTTTGGAGCCTGTCCTGGAACTAGCACTTGTAGACCAGGCTGGTCTCAAACTCACAGAGATCTGCCTGCCTCTGCCTCCCGAGTGCTGGGATTAAAGGCGTGCGCCACCACCGCCCAGCCTGTGGTATACCATCTTAACACATTTACTCTCAGCTTTCATTCATCAGAAAAATATAGATTGGGAATACCTGTAGTCTTCCTTGTCACTTGGAAACCTGCTAACAGGGCCAGGCATGGTGGCTGTTTATTAATTAATTAATCCCAGTGGATGGCAGAGGCGGGAGAATCTCTGTGAGTTCGAGACTATTCTTGTCTGTAGAGTGAATTCCAAGCCAACCAGGGTTCCATAATGACAGAAAGAAAAGTACAAAAATGTAAAAATTTCTCAAGAACTCTTTTAAAAAGTAAAATAAAAGTATTACCTTATAAATTGGTTTACAAAAAAACAAAATTAAGAAATAACCATAAGAAAAACCTTAGCTGGAATCAAGCCTTCTGCTGATTGATTTCAAGTCTGGCTGTTCCACATGGCTTGGCTACCCTTACAGTCTCTCTCACAGCTACATCTGACGCTTGTGTTAGCACGTGTACAACATCTATACTTGTCACTAGGCCGTAACCTGAACTTGTGATACTGATTCTAGAGACCATCCAATCGGATTCAGCACCTCACGTCTTCCAGAATAATGTGATATACAGACGGCCAAGGCTTGTCAAGTCGAATTTTGTCATGAATGATTCCCTCAATCAAAACATATGCCTGGATGTGGACAAGGTGCATCTCAAAGCTGTCCCACTAACTGACCTGCAATATGAAGGTAAACGGCCACCTTGTCCCTCCTCCCCTCCTTGGCTTTCTTTGTTCCATTCAAACTTTCTGCTTTTAAAGCACAAACGTATCTATCTCCCTGGCTTTGCACGATTCTTCTAGAACAGAAGGAAGCACCCCACCCCCACCAAGAATCCCTGGAAAGGACAGCCTAGCATCCAGATCTATGCCACCAGAGCGCAGCTTCCTGCCTGAGCTCACTACAGGGCACGGAGAGCTTTCTGACTTACCGTCTCTTTGGTGCTCATAGACATTCTCAACACAACCTCCCTATTCTGATTTTAAAGAAGAGAAAACTGAGCATCACAAACATTTAATGACTTGCCCAGCGGCTAACGAGGCGCAGTCAGGCACTATCTGCTAGAAAGCTGGGGACCATGCTTACAACGAGCGTGCAGTTAGGAAGAGCTTGCTAATCGGATGGGAAAGCCAAACAGCTCCTAGCAGCAGTGGGATCTGAAGGACGAAATTCAGTGTCTAAAATTTCTTGTTACGCAGTCCTAGCTTCTATAATCAACCTGCTTTAGACGCAGAATGCGTCATCAATATACAAAATTATTTTTAAATTATTTTTAAAGAACCCCGGCAGCAACTTTATAGTAAGCAGGCAGGGTTCTTTCAGATTAGAGACACCGTGCACTACAGTTCCATGCTTTCTGCTCTGTGACATTTGCGAATTGCTGTGTCTTCTATTTCCTATTTACCACAGTTTCTCTCACCTATCGACTTAGTCTATGCTCCCCCCCCCCTGCCCCCAAGACACACACACACACACACACACACACACACACACACACACACACACACATGCCTGGTTTTTGGTGCAAGAAACCAAATGCATGGGCTGGAGAGATGGCTCAGTGGTTAAGAGCATTGCCTGCTCTTCCAAAGGTCCTGAGTTCAATTCCCAGCAACCACATGGTGGCTCACAACCATCTGTAATGAGGTCTGGAGCCCTCTTCTGGCCTGCAGGCATACAAGCCGACAGAATACTGTATACTAAATAAATAAATACTTAAAAAAAAAAAAGAAAGAAAAGAAAAGAAACCAAATGCAAGCCAGATGCGCAGGAAGCAAGTGCTCTGTCACTAACCACAGCTCCTGCCCCTATGGTTCCTATTTATATTTCTAGTAGTACTAAAAGAGCCAGTCATTTTACTGTGTGGGACGTCTGGGGGGGGGGGGCGGGTCTTAGATTGCTCCATTTTAAGCCATTAGGAACTCATAAACCAACAAATGTTGAGGTCTTATTCCACTATTGTAACTGTAAGAGATTCAGCAAGAATTTGGTCCTTAAGCATTCTACTCAAATAGAAAGCCTTAGAAGCATTATTTACAGCAGAGACGTTGTAAAGGACACAACAATGTATAAAATTCCACTCCCGACCTCCACAAATAAATATGGTATATTCAGTTATACCAGAGTTGGGGGTCTATTTTTACACACACACACACACACACACACACACACACACACACACACACACACACCTATATAAACACCTCTTTTATATTAAAAAAGAAGTAGTTGAATTTACTTTCTTTCTGGCTTTTTCTTTGACAGTAAAATTTGACATGTATGCCTACACATTGGACGACTCTAAATATCCTGTTACTCTGAAACTCTCAAACACCCAGCTGTTTGTGAGCGCCCAAGGTGAAGACGAGCCTGTGCTGCTGAAGGTCAGTTGACGCCCATCTCAGTCTTGCCCTCTGTACCTCCGAGTTCTGTAAATGATCCCAGTAGGCAGATGTCCCCCTAGGGTGGCCACAGTCTCCCTCCTGCCGCAGGAGGTGAGACCACTCGCTCACCTTTCACTCCCTGACTGTATTCGCCTCCCACCCCAGAGCATCCGTTTGTTCTGTTGATCTTTGCTGACATCTTCCCTCTGTTTTGCGTAGTACTGGCCGGCCTAAAGAAACTCAAATGAGCCCACTGAGACCAGAGAGAATTAACCACTTGTAAACACACATGAAACCAAAAGCTAAGAGCCACAACACTCAAACCTTAGCTTTCGCACTCCACTGGTCCATTGGTGATACTTTTGTCTCTCATTCCATCCCCATGTTCTCTATAGCCATCTCCCTCAAACACACACATACACACACTCACACACACACACTCACACTCACTCACACACTCTCTCTCTCTCTCTCACACACACACACATAAGCATTAGACATTTTTACCATGGAGAAGAATGTGACTCTCATTCAGTAAATGTATAATCCAATGCCTCCAATTTCCCTAAAATGCATGTAGGCACCCGTATTTCTCCGTCTGAATCAAATAAAATGAAAATGTCATCTACTAAGTAGGGCAGTAGCTTCATTCATGACTTCATTCAACAAGCCATTATTTACCAAGAGCCTTCTCTTTTCCAAGTACAGCATTAAAAGCTATGGAGTATGGCAAGTCAAGATCCCTAACTTTAAGGGACATAGTACTCTAGTAAACAGACAATAGACAAGTCAAAAAGACAACAACAAAAACGGAAAATATTGGACAGAAAATGCACAAGGTCCTAAGAGAGAAAAATGGTGGAGTGTTATTTAGAGGGAGGGACAAAAGCAGAGCTCCCTGGCAAGACTGGCTAACAAGAGGTACAGGTGGGCCATCCCACACCCATTAGGATCTGCATTCGCTGGCACTTCCTGAACCCACAAACCAGCCGCAAGGATCAGTGGAGTGCTCTTGGCCCCAGCCATTTGAGACACAATTGAAAGCCACAAGGGTTCCAGACCATGCAGGGTGCTGGTATCAGTTACATTTCTTAAATGGACAGTAGTCTGGAAGGAAAGCACTAGAGAAGCAGAGAACTCAGCTGGGAGGCTATAGGTGAAGTGTGGCAGAAGGATAAGGGGAACATGTAGAAGGGAACAGACCTTGTCTAGTCATCCAGAGGCAGAACAACCCAAGGAGAAGGTAAAGCATGGGGATGAACAGGTCTGGGCAGTACTGTTCTTGCTGATTTGAAACCCCAAGGAAGCTGATCGGGTTATTTACTTGTAGCTTAAAATGAGTTCCAAAAAGGAGTCTTACCTAACACATAATTTGAAATGCATTTTTCCATGAAGGTTATTGTTAGGATTTGTTCACACTCAAAGGAAGAGGACAGTCTAAAAAGGTTGTGTTCAAAGCAGCCAGCAGCTAAATCGATCAGGGAAGCATTGTGGGGTTTCAGTTAATTATTTTTGTATGTATGGATATGGCTAACTTTTTTGACTGAAATGTAGAGATAAATATTATCTCAGTGATCTACTGTTTCCAGAAATGTGTAATTTGTACACTCGGCGGGGGGGGGGTCAGAATGCTTAGAGGTCTTCAAATTATCAGTGTTCAGATTTGGTGAGAGGACCCGGTGCCAGCATTAAAGACAGAATACACACATGCAGTGTTTCATCCCACTTGTCTGGATACAGGGAGATGCTGGCATCATTGACAGTCTTCATGATTCATTTAGATTTCTCTCCAATTAACTAAGGAAATCAAGTTATGATTAGTCTGGACCATACACCAAATAGGCATGCTTGATAAATGTTTGTTGAGTGAACAAATGAAGGAGCCTGGATCATATCTGAGTCAGGCTTCTGGAGTGCTGTTTGTCACGAAGGCCAGACACCAGAGGTGACGACGCTCCAGTTTTTTTCCCAACACCTTCTACTGCACCAACGGATCTCCATTTTGCTTATCACAGGAACTGCCTGAAACACCGAAAGTCATCACAGGGAGTGATGTCAACCTCGTTTTCTTCTGGGAACCCATCAACACTAAGAACTACTTCACATCAGCTGCCTACCCAGGGCTGTTTATCGCCACCAAAGAACAGAGCCGGGTGCACCTGGCGAAGGGGCTGCCCTCTATGACAGACTTCCAGATCTCGTAAGAGCAGCCTTATTTCTGGAGTCTACTGACCTGGGAAGTGCCAACAGCGTATGTACCGTGTACAGGAAGGCCCTTCACCCTGAGTCACTCGCCCAGCACGTGCTGAGCCTTTGTAATTCGAAATGAATGTTTATCCTCTTTGTGAGAGAAGAGCAGAGCCTACTGGAACCAACCCCGACACACAATGGCATTTGTTATTTAAAGAGCACCCTGTACTTAGTACAGTACTAATCACTTTAATTATTATTCTTCATGGCGTTCTCAGGAGGAACAGAGCTGGTGTGAGCAAAAGAACTCTACCCATCTGAGAGATGAGCTAACTACAAGCGTACTGGAAAGTACTCGGTAGCAGTCGGGATGAGAACCCACAGCCCCGTGCTGTCAATCAGACCGTGTACTTCTGCTTCCAAACTGCTGCTTGAGTAGGGTGAAGTTAGAAGAACTCAGCTCTAAACCTAACTCTATCGTTTTCAAAAGGAAAGGGACAATAGCTGCATCTTTCCTACCTCAGTGGGTTTTATTCCAACGAGAGCATTTGAATGAAATCCTCCTGGAACACGCCTCAAGAAGACAGAACGTTGAATGTTATTTTTAAGTTATTTTATATATGTATTTATAAATATATTTATGATAATTATATTATTTATGGCACACCCTTGAGTCCTCTGAGCTTGACCAGGATCCTCAGCAGTAGGGTGTTCTAGGTGGAGTCAGTCAGATGTGGCTACTCCAGAGCACCATGCTGTAGATGCTAGGCTTTCTCCACAGCCAGGAAATTCGCTCTACATTCTCATACTTGAGAGCCCTGTAATTATGACCACAAATCTGTATCGTTTACTTAGGTCATTTAAGGTGATTATTGGGCCAGTCTTTCCCCCTTTTGTCCCTAAAGTTGTCTGGGTATTCTTATATCATTCAACCTGACCTGTAATTAAATCCAGCAATCCAAGGATGGGAAGATCTGAGCCGTGACAACCACATCACTGCTACTGGAAGTTTGCTTTCTAGGATGCAATCAGTGTTTCCCCTGGGTTCCAACTTTGTTGTCAAACCACAGTTTGCCTCATGACTGTCAACAATAATAATCACTGCATTGTTGCTGATCCTAATTCAATAAAACGAGTTTGAACTAATATATATTTATTTGTTATCTTTTTTCTTGGGTTTTGCAATGGGATGGTTGTTTGTTGTCAGGCTTTCTTTGCACCACCAGCTCCCAAATAATGACATGAAACTTCTTATTAATTATGAAAGCTAGGCCTTAACTTAGGCCTTTTCCCAGCTCGCTCTTACAACTTAAATTAACCTGTTTATATTCATCTACTTTCTGCCACATGGCTCATTACCCTCCTCCATGCTTTATATCCAGCTTCCCCAGGTCTCACTGATGAATTCTGCCCCTTTTCTTCCCAGAGTTCCTTTCTCTTCCTAGAAGTCCCGCCTACCCTCTCCTGCCTAGTTATTGGCTCATCAACTCTTTATTAGACCAATCAAAAGACACCTTGGCAGAGACACATCTTCACAGTATACAAAGATTGTCCCACAACAGCTGTTTTGCTTTTTTTTTTGTTTTTTAATATTGTGAAGGTTTGTTTATTTGTCGTCTTCATTACTTCACTGTTAGGAACAACTGGTTAGACGTTCAGATAACTCACCACAGTTAGTGCCACTTTACAAAACCAGGTTCCCACACAGCTCTAAAGGAGATGTCTCCCTCAAATCCCTCCCCTCAGAGTTCAGTGAACCCCACAGAAGTGGAGGCAGGAGGACACAGGGGTATTGAGGACATCAGGAGAACAAGGCTCTCTAAAACAACTGAGCAAAGCTAATAATTCACAGAGACTGAAGAAGTCGTCACAGGGCCGCCATGGGTCTGAACCAGGTCCTCGGCATACATACTATAGCTTCCAGCTTAGTATTTTTATGGGACTCCTGCGTATGCGAAAGAGTAGGTCTCTGATTCTTGTGCCTTCTCTTCGGTCTCTTTTATCTTTCTGTTATCTTGGCTTGTCCAACTTTGTTATGATGAATTTTCTTCTGTCTTAACTTTTATGTCTCGTTGCTATCTCAAAAAATACCTTTAAAAAAAACAGATTTCATAGTTGTTCTTTCTTTCTTTTTTTTTTGTTAGCTGCCAGTATTCAGATAACATTGAAAATTATATCCCCAGGCTCAGTTGGTGAATACAATACATATTCAGTGCGTGCGCATGCTGATGTCCACACAAACTCAGACAAGTACCATCAAAAACACGTGGCTGTTTTTCAGCAGACTGGGAGCTGCTTTCCTGTGGTCTAGAGAAGAAGAAACTCGGAATAAGAAATAATGGACTGTATCAAAAAAAAAAGAAAAAGCTTTGAAAATTCACAAAGATTCTAACAGCTGGCATGTGCAGTAACTCTTACCCATATTCTTCTATGTAGCCCCAGTAAGACTCATCGGCCCACCAAGCTGGACTCTGGTGGTAGCCTCCTTTTGGCCTGTCTTGGAATTCCCTGTCAAAGTGAGTAGACGTGCGTGTTGTGTCTCCCCAGGAAATGTTTAGTCACACAAGGGGATATCAGACTGTCAGACCCCATGGGGCTGCAGTTACAGGCAGCTTTTAGTTGCCTAAAGTGAGTGCTGGGAACCAGCTGTGGTGGCCTGAAAAAGCAGTACGTGCTCTTAACCCTGAGCGGCTTGTCATCGTATTAAAAACAACACAAGCAACAACACCCTTTTGTGATCTTGGATCTTATTGCCCTTCAAGCACTCATCTAATTAATTATGCTTATGGTAATGGTGGTGCTTTCTTTCTTCCTTCCACTCTCTTTTCTTTTCTCCATGGTTCTTTTTTCTTTCTGGTGGCTGCTTTTTTTTTTTTTTTAGTGGACTTTGGTAGCATTTTAACTTTACCTAGTTGATGTTATTTTGTTTAAATGATCTATTATGTTTTTGTATTTTACTTCCATTCTTAGGGTTATCTAAATTTGGGATTTAAATTTTCTCACTAGTGTGAAATCTTCTTTGTTCTTTTTGTTTAAGCTCGTCTAACCTCTTGCTCTTCCAACCCTTTATTACATTTTTCTCCACGCCTCACCATCTTCTTCCTCTCTTTTCCTTAACCTCTGAGTGTGTTTCTTGAGAACACTTTCAGAAACAATTTGATCATGGCCTAGTCAGTGGAGCGATCCTTTAATGATCTTGTAATGTGATGGCATTGTTGGGAACTAGTGAAAGGTAGGAGGTGGGGGCCTAGTAGAATGTGCTAGATCCTTAGAGGACTAGCTCACTTGCCCTGGCCTCTTCCTGTACGCAAGTAGGTAAAGAAAGCCTCCGTTACACGTGCCCTCTGCCAGGATGCTCTGCCCAAGTGAAGAAGAGACCAAGTAATCCTGGCTTGACCTCTGAAACCATATGCCAGTATAAGTTAAGTCTGTTAACTTGTTTCATTCAGGTATTTGGCCACAGAATGAAAACAGTAACTACTACGGACCACTTTCACTTGGCATGCTATTATTTGCAGCCAAAGCCAGACTGATACAGAGCATTGTTTTTCCCGGTTTGTCTAACCGCCACAACTGTCTTTATCTGGCTACAAAAAAGCACTACGCCTTTGGGCGCCGGCCTGTCAACTCGAGCCTCATCCACCGGCGCCCACGGCAGAGCCACAGCCGCGGAAGTGACCCGGACACCGGCCGGCCCCGCCCCGCACGATCCTCCAATCGCAGCGCCTCGAGGAGGCCCCGGGGCCAACCGCCAGGCGCCCGTTTCCTGTTATCCCGCCCTCTCTGGTTGGCGAATTTCAAAGTCGCGGAGCCAATGAGAGCGTCCGGACGCGCGCCGGGGTTCTCTGTCCAGAACAGGGCGCGCCCTTTGAAGAAAGAAACTGTCGCGGGAGAGTCATGGTGGGACCGGGCCCTGCTGCCAGCGCAGCCGCGGGTAAGTGTGGTCGCCAGCCTCCCGCAGAAGCTGCCAGGCCGCCCCCTGCCTGCTTCAGCCTACCCCAGGCTCAGATAGGTTCAGGTCGCTGGACCCGGGTCACCCAGCAAGGAGTGACGCGCCCCGCGGCGGCGTGTGGACACCCAGGCATTGCTGGTGATGGCCGGAACTTTGACAGGAGTCAGGAGGCCGATTCTGCCTCAGTCCGACTCCCTGCACCTCTGCAGACCGACTGCTAAAATGTGGGCTGAGGCTTAGGGATGTTGTGAACCCTGATCTCTGTGACCCCACCCCCATGGCACCTTCAAGGTGCGTGCGCTGTCCGCTCTCCTGAGCTCATTTGCTGTTTTGTACACCGGCCTAGGCGCTGCTTACTCAAGGGTTTAAAAATCTTGCTTTCAAATCCTGGCTTTACTGCCTATTAGTGGGTAAATTTAAGCACGTCATTTACCCTCTCAAATAGCAAAATACCTCTTTGGATTATTGTGTTACTGTAAACAGTTTAGTAAAGAGCTTGGCATCAAGCTGCTGCCGTTGGTGCTGGTGTTGGTATTAATTTGACAGCAAGCATAAAAGGACCAGCGACTTTCGCAGAGCCCCAGTAGCTCCAGGAAAGTACCGTACTTTAGGAATATAAAGGGACTGGTTAAAATCTCACGTTAAGTTTCTGTTGTTCGTTTTATGTCCACGTTTTGCAGAAGAAAGATGGAGAAAGCTCCAAGAGTACCTGGCAGCCAAGGGAAAGCTGAAGGATCCTAACACCAAGTGAGTTTACCGCCCTAATCGTTTTTGTTTTGTTGCTCCGGTTGCTAATAGCAATAAACGGTCCCAGCCTTTTTTGTTTCCGGTCTGTTTGACCTGCATGGTGATCCTGTAATAACATATTTCAGTCCAGGCATGATTTTAAAGAGAAATAAAAAAAACCTGGGCAGTGTCTTGTCGGCAGAGATTTAAGCATTATTTTTTTTCCTAATGCCAAAGGAAGAAAGGATCTACAGTATTACCTACCTCACTGGAAGTTTTTCTGGTTCCTTCTTTTTTTTTTTTTTTTTTTTTCTGGGAAAACTGGTTCCCAGCAAAGCAGTTTTTGATCCAGGTGCAAACTGGTTGCAGTGTTTGCTTACTAAAGCAGGGGCACTGGTTATAGCCGGTCCACAGGAGCAGTGCACCAACATCCTCCAGCTTGGTGATGTCCTTTGATACTCTCCTGGTATATACTTGAGGTGGACAGAACAAAACCCCTTTATCCTTTTCTCTTGCTGGCACCTTGCCATCTTTGTCCTGTTATTTCTCTCTCTTGCTTAGTGTATTTTCCTCCATTTGGCTGACGTGTGTGTGTCTGTGTCGTGCACCCCAGAGGGGAATGTTGGGTGTCTGCCCTATCGCACTTCCCCTATTCCCTTAAGACAGGATCTCCCACTGTCTGAAGCGCACTGTTTAAGTTAAGCAGGCCAGCACTCATTTCCACCCCCTAGTGCCTAGGATCATCATGCCCAATTTTTATGTGGCTGCAGGATATATGAACTAAGGTTCCCATGAGCCAGGAGATCTGAACTAAGGTCCCCATGAGCGCCGCAAGTACCCCTGAGCCACCTTCTTAGCTCGGTGATTTTACTTTGGGTTTTTTCCTCACCTCTACTTTTTTGATTAAATGAACTCAAATCATTTTCTCAGAAAATATTCATTTGGCACCTATAATGTCTCTCTTCCCTCCCTCCGTCTCTTCTCCCCCTTGCTCCTCTTTCTCCTCCCCTCTCCTGTGAATGGAACCCAGACTGGTCACATGCTGTACACCAAGCACTGTAGCACTGACATACATTCCCTAGGCCTGTCAATCACTGTTGATGCAGGAAGATGCGGAACTCACTAAGGCAGAGACGCCCCTGCCTTCCTTGACTTACCCTGGTCAGTCTCTATTATCTTGAGGTTTGGTCTGTGGAGATTGGGTCCTTCTCAGTTCTGCTCTGTCGTTGTTTCACTAGCTAGACTTTAGCTTCATGTCACATCCTCACAGGTTCCAGAATCCACAAATGTTCTGGTCCCGTCCATGAAATGCTGTAGTGTTTACATGTGACCCATGCAAGTCCTTTTTTAGACTTGAAATCATCCGCAAATTACTTATGGTTCCCAGTACAATGGAAATGCCAAGGAAATAGTTTGATTTTGTGAATATACGGAGGGAAAGTCTACATGTTCGGTATAAATGCAGTTTTGTTTTTCATATTTTTTTTAATCAAAGATTAGTTAAAATCCTAAATGTGAAACCCATGATCTGGAAACTTGGTTATATACAAACCCCTCTTCCCTTCTGAAACACTAAAAATATATAGAACAAGGAAGTTTCTTAACAAGGCAGTTAATCATCTTTTCTCTCATGTCTGGCCCTCGATATTCAAGAACTGTTGCTCAAATAAGACTATAACAATGAAGAGACCACATATATTTCATTAATATTATTAGAATGCTACATTTGTACATAGGATATCCTGAAAGAAAAAAATCACAAAAGGAATTGTTAAGAGCATCTGTGGTCTTTGGTGAGTGGAATACAGGGCTAAGGAAGGGAGAGTAAGGTTACTTCTTAATTGTAGGCGGATCTTCTTTCTATGTGTTGCTTTCATTGGTTAATAAAGAAACTGCTTGGCCTAATAGGTCAGAACATAGGTGGGTGGAGTAGACAGAACAGAATGCTGGGAAGAGGGGAAGTGAGTCAGATGCCATAGCTCTCCTCTCCAAGATGGATGCAGGTTAGAATCTTCCCAGTAAGCCACTACCTTGTGGTGCTACACACATTAATAGAAATGGGTTAATCAAGATGTGAGAGTTAGCCAGTAAGAGGCTAAAACTAATGGGCTAAGCAGTGTTTAAATGAATATGGTTTCTGTGTTATTTTGGGGGTAAGCTAGCTGGGATCCGGATGGAAACGCAGCCCGCTGCTCTTTCTACACTTATTAAATAATGATTTTTATTTGTTTTACCCTATACAGAAATTCTATTGGTTTACAATTCTAATCATAATGTTTAAATCACTATTCTTTCCTAACTTTCCTGATTCTTCTGTGCCAAGCATTAATTTTATTTTCGTCTTTTATAGGCCTTATCTAAAAGCCAAGAACATCTGCCCCAAACCACCATCTTCTAAATATGTAAGTAAACAGCCCTATGAGAGATCGCTTGTGTAATTTGACCTTGAACCCAGAACTTTTTAGGATAAAATAAAGTATTGAACTAAGATGCCTAAATCAAAATACCTTGTAAAACTAAGGACATAGGACAACATGACCACTGCAACTCCTATTGGGGTGGCTCACATTTCCAGAGGTTCAGTCTGTTATCATCACGGTGTGACATGATGACACACCGGCAGACGTGGTGCTGGAGGAGCAGGCAACAGGAAGTGGTCTGAGACACTGGGCATGGCTTGAGCATATATGAGCCCTTAAAGCCAACTTCCACAGTGACACACTATCTCTAACAAGACCATGCATACTCCAACAAAGCCACACCTCCTAATAGTGCCAATCTCTTTGGGGGCCATTTTCTTTCTAAACACCACACTGTCCTAGAAAAAAACAGATATGACTGTTAATGTTACTATTGTTCCCATTTATATGTGAGAGATGGGATTCAAAGAGATTACATCCTTGCCCTAATTATACAATCAGTAAGAGTCAAATCCTGTTTCACTCTGGTAATAAATTATATTGACTACATGGGCTACTTTAAGAATATACTGAGTTTTTAGAAATTATTCTGGAAGCATGTAAAACCACTGATAAGGTGTGTATTAATGTCTTTTCAGGCCCTATCATGACCCCTGTTTCAATATATCATATTTTTATGTGTTTATGTCTTTTCTACTAAGGTCTCAGAATCAAGTGTAGCCCATCTTTACACCTCCAGGAGTCTAGCACAGGGCCTTTTCTGCTCTCTTGATTCATGCCTTCCTTACATCTTCTGAATTTTCTCCCTTCCATTTCAGATGCCCAGACTGAGTGAAAGTAAATTTAAAGCAATTATTTCTTCTTGTACATCGATTGTTTTGTTTTTCAACGTAATCTGTCAGTTCTCAGATGGTTTAAAGGAATCAAGAGTCAGAAACGGAAGTTCTAAGCCTAACCCAGCTTCCAGCTGCCTCCCTGTGCCTAGCCTTAGACAGCTCACTTTCTCTGCCAGATGACGGAGTTGAATTTATCTCTAAAATCTCTCTCGGTTCTAATGACCTAGTCTAAGTATGGCTTTGCTCTCTTCCTGGAGGGCTTGAGAACTGAATGACCAGTTCTACTACTTGTAAAACTTTAGTCATGTCAGGCCAATCTAAAGTCAAGATCTGAAAAATGTCCAAAAGAAACATTTGCTAATCACGTATCTTATGGGGATCTAGTATCCAGGATATATGACTCTTACAGTTCAGTTAAAAGACAAATGACTCAGTTTTGAAATGAGCAGGGTCTGAGTAGACATTTCTCAAAGATGTTAAAGATTAGAGAAAATGTTCAGTATTGTTAATCGTCAGGTAAATGCAAACCAAGATGACAATGAGGGGCAGGCCTGCTAGGACCGACTGATAATCCCAAATACCAGGAGGTTGAAAGCAGGAAGATTGAAAATTCAAGACCAGGCTGAGCAATTTAGTAAGACCTTGTCTCAAAATTAAAAGTAAAAATAAGTTTGGGACTATAGATCAGTAGAAAAATGCTTGCCTGGCATGCTTCAGACTCTAGGTTCAATCCCCGGTAAAACATGCATGCGCACACACCCCAAAAACAACAATAACAAAATAAAAACAACGAGACGCTGCATCATACTTACTAGAATATCTACATTCAAAAGGACAAACAGTACTGGGGAGGAAGTGGGAACACTGGAACCTTCGTACATCATAGATACGAACGTAACCTGGTTTAGCTACTTTGGAGAAAACTTTTACAGTTTCTTAAAAAGTAAGCATAGATTTACCTAATTATTCTGAAATTCTTTAGGTTTATACCCCTAAAATTGAAAATGTATGCTCACATAAAAACTGTACACAAATATTCATAGTAACATTATTTATAAACTCATAAATGGGGAAGCAACCCAAACGTTCATAAACTAATGAATGACTTGTGTATAGCCATACAAGGTAATATTATTCAACCCTAAACAAGTAATGGAGGACGTATTTGGAAACAAGGTTTAGGAGAACCACCTATACTTCATGCTCATTTTTTCTAAGAACATAAAACTTCTCTAAAAAGAAGCTTTTTATATCTTTTTACTGGACTGGAGATATTGCTCGGGTGGTGAATTGCGTGCTTCACATCCATGAAGTTCATAAGCTAGGTGTGATGGCATACTGTGTAACCCTAGCACTCTGGAGGAGGTGGGAGGATTACTACTGTAAGGTCCCCCTTACTGCATATCAAGCTCAAAGGTAGCTAGGCTACATGAGACTCTTGTAGAACAAAAGTAGTAAAATGCTGATACGTGCTACAACATGGGTGAAATCTTGAAAATGTGTGAGGAGGGAAACGAAGAAAGCCAGATACATCCACACAACACACATGCACAAAACATTCAATAATCCGACTATTTAAGGGCTCCATCTGCATAGGAATGGGGAAAGTGGCTTGCAGTGCTGAGAGCCATGGAGACGGAGATGGAGAATGACCAATGGCAAACCTTTCTGGGTGATGAAAATGTTCTGGCATTCTGTTGGGATCAGTGTACAACCTTGTAAACATTCTAAAACCGCTGAATTGGAGGCTTTAAAATACTAACTTTTGTGGCATGTTAAATTAAATCTCAATTTTATTAAATGTATAAGAAATCCATATAAACACATTTGGACACTGGGGCTTTTTTTTTTCATTTTTGTTTATTTATTTTACAACCCGACCTCTGTTTTGCCTCTCTCCTCTTCTCCCAGTTCTTCCTCCCCACTCCACCCCCTCTGTGCCCACCCCACCCCCCAATCCACTCCTCCATTTCTGTTCAGGAAAAGGCAGGTCTCTCATGGATATCAACAATACATGGCTTATCAAGTTGCAGTGAGACTAAGCACCTGCATTGTATTAAGGCTGGATGGGGCAACCCAGTATGAGGAGTAGGGTCCCAAAAGCCAGTAGAAGAGTCAGAGACAGCCCCTGTTCCCACTTTTAGGAGTCCCACAAGAGGACCAAGCTACACAACTACCACATATATACAGAGGGCCTAGGTCAGTCCATGCAGACTCCCTGGTTGTCAGACTAGTCTCTGAGTCCTTATGAGCCCAGGTTACTTGATCCTGTGCGTTTTCTCGTGGTTTTGTTGTTGTTGTTGTTGTTTTTTAATTTACTGAACCTATCTAGTTCTGTCAAGTTTAAAAGACTCTGCGCTTACTTCTAATAGAAACTCTAATTACAAAATCACCAATATGTAAAAGTGATCCTTAATATTCCTTCATATTCATCTTTCTTAAATAACTTTCTGAAATTGTTTTCTACCATGCACTTGAAGTTATTTTCATCATTTTAAAAAGTGACCTGTTAGCCAGGCCTGGTTGTGCATGCCTTTAATCCCAGCACTTGGGAGGCAGAGCCAAGCGGATCTCTGTGAGTTCTAGGTCAGCCTGGGCTACAAAGTGAGTTCCAGGACAGCCAGAACTGTTACACAGAGAAACCCTATCTCGAAAATAATAATAATAATAATAATAATAAGAAGAAGAAGAAGAAGAAGAAGAAGAAGAAGAAGAAGTAAGCTTTGTTATGAGTTTTTAAATGTATTTTTTTTCTTTATGTTTTCAGACTCCTGGACCCAAAAAAGATGTTTCCAGCCATGCTGTTTTACCTGTCAGAACTACAAAACCCATCAACATCAAACTCCAGACTAAACCAGCCAGTATCACAGGGTCCCAGAAGCCAGAGTTGGAGCCACGAAAACTTGCAGACAAAGGGCTCACTTCAAGATGTTTTTCTTCTAACTCAGACTACAAACAGTCCAGCAAGAGTCAGCCGCAGCACAGGGCTACGTCATCCACTACAGGACTACCAAGCAAACCCAGGCAATCCCCTGGGACCCAGGATTTGGAACCCAAAAAGCAGCAGCCAGCACATCAAGGAACTGCTGATTGCACCAATCCTGCAGCTAGGACCAACATCAAAAACCAGTCTTTGAAGGGCTTTCAAGATGAGATGAACAAAGAGAACTTGCTAGAACCTGGGAAGCCAGATCCCGACTTATGCCCCAGAAGTAAGCCAAACACTGGCTCCTATAATCAATCCCGGAAAAGCCTGGCTCCTAAACAGATCTTGAATAAAAGTTCGGTTAACCATACCATTCTGAAAGACAGAGCTAACAAACAGGTTGTTAGAAACACACAAGTCAGAGCTCACCCAGTGAAGTCGCAGCACCTCTCTACAGATACAGATTCCGCACGACCTACAGAAAAAGCCCCACGGACAGTTCCCCCTCGATTCATTACAGCCCATAATAAGACTCAGACGGCAAAGAAACCCGTGGTCAAGGACACACAGGACGTAAAGGTTAGCAGGATTAAATGTGGAAGACCGCATGAAACTACGGTACAGCCACACCCTGCTACCGAACGGAAAGTAAAGCATACTAAACCTGGTTCCCACCCCAGCTTGCTTCAGGGAGGACAGAACAACAGACAGCCTCCCATCAAGCAGGATCAAAAAGCTGCGCAGCCTTGTCTTGGACCCCGGACATCATGCATTCTGCAGAAGTCAAGAGCCATAAGCCAGAGGCCTAATTTGACAGCTGGCAACTTTAATTCGGTCACTCTAAGCACCCCTAGCATAGGAGCAAATAAAACCCATAACCACAAATGCAATAGCATCTTTCAACAAAAAGCACAGACTCTGGACTTCAAGCTCAAAAAGGTTCTTCCCCAGAGCCAGTTTCTGAGCAAGACTGCTCCCAAAACTCAAGCTGGTATGTCAGCCGCAAGTAGGAGAGGAGCCCCGAGCGCCAGCCACATTCGTCCGCGTGTCAAAGAGACGCAAGGGGAGGACCGGAGGTACTTTGCGTTAACTCCGAGATACTGCAATTTAAGATTATTAGGCAAACTGATAATGATTGGGGTTAGGACTGTGGCTTAGTGATAAAGCACTTGCCTAAATTCAACCCCCAGGACCACCAACAGACACATTTTTATACGTGCATATACACTTGGTTGAGCAGTAGCTCCTAAGTGGTGTCTAGCTAGAGCCTGAAAGCTAGGAAGCTATAATAAATATCAACACTTAACAAAACTAGGTGGCCCACAAGTGTTCTATAACTCATTCTCTATGTTGTCTGTAAGTTGTTTTGTTAAGATGGAAGGGGAACAGATCAGATGAGAGGATGTAGGAGGTGCTGATACAGATTAGTCACCCCAGAAGGTTCCTGCAACGGATCAGGACAGGCTGGAAGTAGCCAGAGTAGTAAGTACTCAAAGCTGGGAAGGAAGCAATCAGTGATGAAGTTCGGCGGTTAGCAGAGGAGTGCGAAGCTTCTATGAGCATGAGTGGGCCAGGCTGGGGAAGGTAAATGGAACCGGAAGGGGAGCCCTGGTCAGAGGCATAAGCAAGTGTTAGAAATCGGGTTCCCAGGGTTGCTGGGACTCAGTGTCGTACATGGTACTGGAGGTGAGCCAAAGGATTTTGTCCTCTTTCTGCCCAAGACCAGTCACACTCCAGCGTGCAAATGAGCCTCCTTAGGGTGCACTTGTGTATACGTGGGTGGACTAGAACCTAGACTCCCGACAAGGGTGAAAGAGACGTGTAAAATTAGATGGGGGAGTCGGAGGAGGATTTGGTCTCAGAACAGAGCCTTCTGCCCTCTTACAAAGACATAACTTCATGTTTGGTGGTGTGGTTGAGAGGGCAGGGCCAGGGCAGCTGATTGAATAGAAGTTGGGGGAAGTGCGTCCATCAGTGCTGTCTCAGGTGAGACCTGAGAGTGATGAGTGACAGGTTGGTGTCACTCGTTTGCCGTATTGACAGTGCATGGCACATTGAAAGTGGTTACAAAAGGCATAGAGTCTGTGGAAACAGGTCCCTCCTCTCGTGATGTGTGTGTCCCCCATCGCTGGCATTGTGCCAGGCTCAGATGGAGAAGGAAGATCGCCACTGCCTCCACCCTTAGAGAGCTTATAGTTTGGAGTATATCCGGGAAGCTTAGAGAAGTTAATCGTGGCATTGAAGGAGTGCGGGAAATTTTCCTCACTGTGATTAGAAGGAGACCGTGGAGATAGGGAGGATGCTAGGGACGGAGGAAACAATTCTGTGCCTGCCTCAGCTTTGTTAGTGTGGAACAGTCCTGACTGCACTAAGCACTGTGCAGACTGTAAGAGCGCTTATCTTCTAGATAGAATCAGAGGAAAATGACAGTGACTTTGATTTATTTATAATTATTGAATTCTGTAAAGGGTGAAACTATAAAGACCAAAAGCAGATCAGTGATTCTCAGGGACTGGAGACTTGAGGTAAGCTTGGCTCTCTGAATTATATCTTGATTATAAGTACAGTCGAGTGGTCTTGTGTATTCGTACCCACAAAATCACACTCTTGAAAACGGTGAGTTTTACTGTACTGTCATTGAAAGCTTGTGTGTGCCAGGCACTGTGCTAGGCACCGGACATCCACTTCTGCCTTCATAGAGCTTGTGTCCTAGTGGAGGAGACAGAATAGGAACACGCTGGTTAAATAAGTCAGGAAGACAGGATAATTGCAGATCATTCCTCTTTAAGCAAGGATCATTTGAACAGACGACAGAAGATACAAGACCCTGAGGCAGGCATGAGCCTGGATCAGGAAACTGAGAGGCTGCCAGAGCTGCCAGAGGGTAGCGAGGGAGAAGCTGTGATGTAGAGTTGGAAAGGGTGGCAGGACAGTCGTAGAAAACACGGTGGATTTTATTTCAAGAGCAGTGGGACGCTGAGACAGCCTACTTTATATTGTACTGATGCAGGGGCAGAGAGCAGCATGGTGGTCATGGGGACAGCACCAGTACTAAATCTGTACAGTGATGAGTCAGGCCTAAGAAAAAGCAACTACTCAAAGACGTCTCCTGAGTTTAGGCCTACTGTTCATCAAAATAGGGAAACCAGGAAGGGATTTGGAGGTAACTGTCAAGAGCCTAGTTTGGGCAGCTTTGAGCTGAAATGCCTGCTAGACAATAAAAGATACCAATGAGACAGTGGATTTAACATGGTTGGGGCTCCATGGAGTGATCTGAAATCTGAAATGGGCATTTTCTGATCACTGATACACAGTTGTGACATGACAAAACTAGAGTATCTACATCTAGACACTTGGTATCCACAGCCCTCCAAAATAATAGACTGTTTGCATAGAAGTAGGAGTATGAGGAGAGGCGGACAGCCAGCACTGGGGCTCGGCACTGTCAGACACCAAGAACTTACGGAGAAGAGAACCTAGGGTTATTGATTAATGAAGACGGTCTCATGTGTAGTCAGAACACTAAGGGGCTGGGGTGAAATGGGTTGCTATGAGCACCAAGACCCTGTGGAAGAAAGAGTGCAGGTTTGGTGGGTCACGGTGGCCAGAAGCTTTGGGTGGCAGAAATGGAGTACTGGGGTGTCAAGGGCAGGTGATATCCAAGGAAGCACACGAGGAAATGAAGACTTAGAGGAAAATAATGAAACATAATTAGAATGCAGGTATCCAAAACTGAAGAGCCAGTCGGCCCTCTGCAATCCCAGCAGAACTGTGACGTGGTCAGCCCAGCATGCCCATTGCCCATTGCAGACCGACCTCCATTCTGTCCTCCTGACCTTGTCTACAGTGGAAGGTTTAGTTTATGCCCAGTCTCTGCCTGTCGTCTATTTTAGAAACAGACGAGGAAGGAAAGAGGGAAAGAACTAACCCCCTCTCATCACGTTACAGGAAACAGCTGGAAGAATGGCAGAAATCTAAAGGGAAAACCTATAAACGCCCTCCCATGAAGTTCAAAGCCAAGAGAAAAGTCATAGAGGAAATGAACATCTCATTCTGGAAGAGCATGGAGAGGGAGGCAGAGGAGGAGGAAGAAAAGAAAGCCCAGCTGGAGCTGTCCAGTAAGATTAACAATACTCTGACAGAATGTCTGAGGCTCATTGAAGAGGTGAGTGAGAGGCCGGAGCTGCAGAACTCCGGCCTGCAGTCAGCCCTGGTGCTTAAAGGTTTTCTTACAGAGCGGAGGAATAGCCTGCCCCTCGGCAGAAACCCAGCCGCCCTTCAAATACAGCAGAATAGTGATAGGAGCGGCAGGAATGCTGGGGAAATGCATTTCCGGGGCAGCTCAGAGATGCTAGGAAACACTGAGACCATCTGACTCCCGGGAGAACTCTCCAGGTGGCAAGGTCCAAAGAGTAAACAATATATCAATGGATTGAAATCTAAGTCAACGTACAAGGCTTTTTTTTTTTTTCAAATTGGAATTTCCTAAATAGTTTCGGTTGGGGACTGGTTTAAGTTTTGTTTATTTTTATTTTATGCATGTGGATGCTGTATGTATAGCTGCATCCTGTTCATGCAGTGCCCATGATGCAGAGGGCATCAAATACCCTGGAACTGAAATTACAAATGGTTGCCAGCCACCATCTGGGTGCTGCGAATCAAACCCTGGTCCTCTGGAAGAATAGCTAGAGCTCTTAACCACTGAGCCATCTCTCCAGCGCCCCTAAGTACTTTTGGTGGCTAAAAATGGTATTTGAATTGTGTGGTGGAGTCTACAGATCAGGGTAAAGTGGATGGTAGACAAAGGGTCAAAGACTTGAGCAATTGCCTTAATGAAAATGCATTAATAAAAATTGATCCGCTTAACCCTTGGGCAGCGAGTGAAAAAGTAAAAGTCAGTGTGTTCTGGTCGTGCTGGAGTTGGGGAAGGGCAGGGGACCTTGTTTTAATTCTTCTCAGTGCAGACAACGTTAGCTGTTTCTCCTTTGTGGGATGGAACTGCAGAGCTCTGTATCCGAGTTGCTTTCTTGTTTTCATTTTAAAAATACATGGATACATTCTTTTGTATGGCGGGGAGGCACACTTCTGTGTGCATTTGTGTGAAGGCCAGAGGACAACCCCAGGGTCATCCCTCAGGCACGGTCTTTCTTGTTTTGGGGGTAGGAATTGGTTTGGTTTGGCTTGGTTTGGTTTGCTTTGGGGTTTGTTGTTTGTTGTTTTGAGGGAGGGTCTCACGGGCCCGGGCAAGTCACGTTATCGCACTTCACGTTTTATATGTTTTCCTAGTCTTGATCAAATAAGCCGGGTATTTTCCCTTTCTCTCTACGCTCTGAAAACGGTCTGCACATCTTTTCACATGACTGGCTCGTGTTTCCTGGGCTGAATGGATAGTGACCCTGTGCCCTTTTTTAAAGTCACTTGTTGCAGGAGGATCACAGATTCAAGGCCAGCCTTACAGAAATCCTCACATGTTCTACCCAGAAGTTTCCTGAAGCCTGGCTGGTCCTGCATTTTATAGAAACTTCACGGCATGTGTATGATTGATCTCCTTGACCAGCATTAGGCCGTTAGTAACAGCTTATCCTTCAGTCCCTCTACAGGGGCTGGGGGTAGGACTGAAGCCCCCCCCATTCTGCTTGCCAGTTGTCCTGGGACCGGGTACCATCCCGGGGCTACCTAGGCACTGCCAATCATCAACTAATTCATTAAAGGGCTGTAGGAGCTACATGCCGGAAAACGGAGGAAGACTGCATAGGTGATTCACAGTACCACACCAGAAGAGGCGAACTTGGGAGAAAATAGGACTCCAGCTTCCACTGGGTGTGCCCCCCCAACAAACGCTAGTGTTTTCAGGGCAAGAGGAGTGTCGGAGCCCACTCAGCAGAATTCAGCTGGGGGTTCCCTGGAAGGGGGCACTGAGGCCGAGGAGATGTTAGATTAAGAGAATGAAGACAGAAGCAGGCTAGACCGGGAGGACTGAAGGTCAGTACCAGAGAGCCCCGAGTTTATTCCTCAGGCCGCAGGTCTACTAACTAATCAGAAGGCAGAGCAGAGAGCAGCACATCAGCTAACCACCTCCCTGCACTGTCCTCGGGAGGAGTTCAACAGGTGCATTATCTTACTCCGCTAAGCAGCCTCTAATCTCTAACAAGGAGTGCCTCTGGCGGCGTACACCAGCCCAAATCTTAATTGAAAATGTGCTCTTTCAACTAGGCAAAAATGCTCTTTCCCATGGGCTTAGTCAGAACTTTCTCACAGCCCTCAAGGTTACTGGGAAAAGCAGAGCAGGCAAGCTTGAACTCAAATGACTTCTTTAAGATGGAAACTGAGTCACGAGTGGGCTCCCACAGAGGAGGGAGTCTGTGGGCTTGGGGTTCAACCTTGAGGAACGACCACTACCCCAAGGTGCTCCTACCGCTGAAGAAGCCCAGTAGTATTTTGTGAACGTAAGGGGGTGGGGGGTGGCTAGAACCAGCCTCCTTACCTAGTGGTGAGGTACCATTGCTAGGGTGACAGAGCAGCTGGAAAGACTCCGTCCTTCACTTGGGCAGTCTCCTTCTATTCTTCAGCCAAACAGCTCTACAGGGTTCCAGCCCAGCATCAAGACACTGGACAAAAGTGGGATTTGGGCTGAGTTGAAGTAGTTCACTGAGTAGCTGGCTGGTGCCCCATGTGTTCTCACTGCTTCTGTTTGTTTCTTAACTCTTATATCTTAAATTAATCCATTTCTATTCAACTGTGACCTACCCGTAAGGTTCCAGTGTGTCTTTCTGCTTTGGCAGCTACATAGCGTCTCTCTGACTCTGCCTACTCTCTCTATATATCTCTTCCTGCCTGTCTATATTCTGCCCTGCCATAGGCCAAAGAAGCTTCTCTATTCACCAGTGGTATTCACAGCATACAGAGGGGAATCCCAATATCATCATCTGTGAAATCTTTTTCATCTCCAGGTTTAAGTTCCTGGGCTGGTGGCGTTTAGGGACACATCACAGATGTATACAGACTGAAGACTGCTCTAAACAGCAGGTCCCCCCTTCCACAGTTGGTGATGGCTCATGTATCCGCTTATTCGGGACACTTGACTGTAATTCCATTGGCAGGATCCTCCTGTGTTTGTGTTCATTTTCATGTTTCATTAAAAAAAAAGTTATAAGTTGATGAAACAAAATAACATAGCAGAAGTAAATTCGGACATGTTTGCTAGTGACACTTGCCAACTTTGAGTCAGTGTGCTTAGAAAAGTACCCTTATTTTGCCCTCATGCTGAGTTCATAGTTTGGGGAGAAGTTCTAACTACAAGTTATTTTTTCTAGAAATGTTGAAGTTCCTGCTTTATTTTCCTCCTTGCATCTGGAATTACTAGTTTACTGAGTTTTATTGAGCTGAGTCTCATTCCTCATAAGTAATCCCTTATTCCCCCTTCCTCTCTGGATGCTTTCTAAGTTATGTTTTTATCCTTGGTTTTCTCATGTACATACATGCTCACATATATGCATGCATGCTAGTTAGCTCGCCAAGAACCTTCAGTGTAAACAATTGTGAATCTCTCTTGTTTTGTTTTTGTTTTGAAGACAGGGTTTCTCTGTAGCTTTGGAACCTGTCCTGGAACTCACTCTGTAGACCAGGCTGGCCTCGAACTCACAGAGATCCGTCTGCCTCTGCCTCCTGAGTGCTGGATTTAAAGGCATGTGCCACTATTGCCTGGAGAATCTGTCTGTTTCTTGGGGTTTTTTTTCCTTGTGTGACTCATGTGAGTGTGTGTTCAACTTTGTTCTCAAGCTTCAAGAAATTCTTTCATATTGATACTGAAATTAGTAATCAGTAGGTGTGCCCTTGGGAATTCTGAATTTGGATTTTGTATTGTTCGTTTCTTTGTTGTGTTTCACTGGGGTCCGGGAGAATTCCTCATGTGCTCGTTCTGTGATGGCGATAGTCCCTTGCCACTCCACTGATGCTGGCTTCTCGGCTCCCTCATTTTCTGCACTAGTGTTCATTCTTCCTTGTTGAGCTGTATGTAGCTTCTGTATTGTGTTGGTCTCCTTAACTGCTGCTGTGTCTCAGTTGGGAGTGTACATGTCTGTCTCCACATCTCCAGAGGAGCTTCTGAGTGCAGCAGTGTGAGTGTCACAGCTCTGCAGGGAAAGGGAGCCAAGGAACACCACAGAGTCACAGCGCACAGCAAACCCCATGCAGGAAGATTAGGAGGAGGGAAAACACGAGGAGGGTGGCTGCCTTCGCTCAAACAAGAAACAGCAGCAACTGCACAGGATAGAGAGCTTAGACTTTCTTGGGAAAGGGGTGGAACTTTTCAGCGTGGAGCATTCCAGGGTGGAGATTGGTACAATTTCATGTCCGGAGATTGGGTTTTTTAGTCTGTAGGGTGGGGCAGGATCCAGCAGCTAGGGAAATTAAGAGTGTTCTGTGGGTGGCACCTGGCAGTCAGAGGTCCTGGGGGAGGGACCTCACCACTCATGAGGCTGGAGGGGCTTACAAGCAGAACCTAGACTTCTGAGTGCGGTGACTCACTCTTGGTCCTAGTTCCTGTCGTGACCCTGCCCTGGACCTAAGCCAGAAGCCGTTTCTAAGTCCCTTTGTGTGGAATCTACCTGCATGAATGTCCAACACACCCGCACGCACACTCTACCCTGAACTTTGCACACCTCTGCTGCTCTTGATGCGTGCTGAGGTTAGTCCTAGGGAGAGTCTAGCCTTGACTCACTGTTCACAGTACTAGGAATATGTGGTATTTTGAATATTTTTAATATGTAAGAAGTATTTATTATTCTAGCTCTTGATTCTGTTTGGGTCTTTCATCCCATATAAATATAGAACAAATTCTTTACTTTTATGCTGTGGTAAATGTTTTTCTTTCTATTCTGCCTTATGTAACTCTTATAAAGGTTAATGTTAAAAGTTACTGAAATGTATAATTAAGATGGGGACATTTTATGTATTTATTATATATTTACTATGTATCACTAAAATTGAAATTTTAACTTCAGAAAAATTAATGACCATACCCTTCAGAGATATGAGGGTTAACAGTGAACTGTTATAAAAATTGTAATAATTATATATATATAATAGTTGTAATAATTATATCTTATATTTCCTTTTCCAGGGTGTATTTCCTAATGAAATATTTACCATCTTGTCCAGCATTCCTGAGGCTGAAAAATTTTCCAAGTTCTGGGTCTGCAAAGCGAAGTTACTGGCAAGTAAAGGCCCCTTTGATGCTACTGGACTGTATGAAGAGGCCATCAAACATGGGGCAGCAGTGAGTATCTGTCTTGGGTGGATGACTGAAAAGTCTCCTTCATGTGCTTGGTTTCTTTGTTGGTGGTGATAAGATGGTTCTTTAACGCAGTGCTAAACTTCTGTTCATAGGGATGAGAGAGGGTGACCGGGAAACATGATCAAAGTGTGTTACACGCCCGCGTGGCAATGGCACGTGAAACCTGAAACCCTCAGTTTTGTACAAGTAATACATCCTAACCAAAACCTCCTTCACGTCATAAGGCAATCATGGAGTCTGAAGTAGGATATATTCTTATCAATGAATGCATCCATTAAATTATTTCTTAGAAAGTAGGGTTACACTTATACCAATAGAATTTTGGTTTTCTTGTCAAGTGCCCAAATCTCACTTAGCACTAATTGTAGACTAGCAGTTTGGGAGGTAGCAATGGAAAGTTAGAATAGTATAAAGATCAAATAGTTAGAAAGACTTAAATTCCATTAAAGTCAGACCATCTCTAGTCCAGAGTAATCAAGTAGCTTACTAATTCTAAAAGCAAACAGAAACCACCATTTGCAGATTTATTTCATGAAGAATATATCAAATAACCTCAGAACTCTTTTGACTTAACTGTTGTTTTCCTCCCTGACCCCGCCCCGTGGCACCCACTTCCATGACCGCTCACAGAGTTGTTCGTCCACACAGTTTCACCTGGCTATGCCCTCCTCACCCCTGCTCCCTTCCCAACTTCTGCTTCCCAGAGCACACTGATTCCTTTTTACCTCTGTGGTTTCAGAGAACATGCTAGTGTGGCTGTTTCACTTTTAGACATAATGTGTAAACTTGCAGATGGAGACAGCCATAACCCTCATTAACACAGCTCTTCCCATGTCCCGGGCCTCACACACACACACACACGTGCCGACAGCCCTGTCTGTCCCTGTGGACCTTTGCCATACTCTGTGCTTCCGCTAACACCGTATGGGAATTCTGGCACTTTGGTGTCCATATTGGTATTCATATGTAAGAAATGCGTGGTGAGGCTGGAGAAATGGCTCAGTGATTGAGAGCACTGACTGCTCTTCTAGAGGACCAGGGTTCAATTCCCAGCACCCACATGGTGGCTCACAACTGTCTGTAATTCTAAGATCAGACATAGACCAACGTGTACGCAAAACACCAATGCACATAAAATAAAAATGAATAATTTTTTAAAAATACAGTGCTGGGCTAGGGGATATGCACTGTGATTGCTTTGCCTTTCAAACACATCTGCTTTTCCTAGAATTAGTTATTTTGTCTATGCTTAGCTTTCTGAGTATTTGTTATATAACTAATTTTCAGATTCTTGAATTTTCTAAATAATGTCAAGACTTGAGATAATCTATTGATTTATTTTTCTTTGCGACCGCTCTAGTTTATTCCTGCTTGGGCAGGCAGCTCTCAGCTCCGTCTGCACCGGCTGTCCTCCTGGTTGTGCCTCCATCGCTCGTAGACACTCTTCACACTTCTTGAGCGGGGTGTCTCTCTCGTTTCCTGCATTGCCTTTCTTCTTCTCTAGTGGTCTCTCCCGCTCTTACTGTTGTTCTATTCTCCACTATTCATTGAAGTATTTATTCAGATGCTGGTGAAGTCAGGCTGTGTGTGTGTGTGTGTGTGTGTGTGTGTGTATGTGTGTACACACACAGGTAAATTTGAAAGTTATGGAGCCTGGGGAGATAGCTCATTCAATAAAGTGCCTGCTGAAGAAGCATGAAGATCTGAGTGTGATTCCTAGCACCCAAATCAAGTAGCCAGTCTTGGTGGCACACACATATACTCCCGGCACTGGTGAGGCAGAGGCAGGTGGGTCCCTGGAGCTTTCCGACTGACCAGCCTGGCCTAATTGGTGACGCCCAGATCCTAGTGAAAGATACTGTCTCAGAAAAACATGGTGGATGGTTCTTGAGGAATGGCAAAGGCTATATGTACACATGCATACACAGTGAATGTGCATGTACATATATTGTACATATATGCACACACATACACACATACACACCAGCCCTGGCCGCATGTATGGGACTTCCCAGGACGGTGATCTGGATGGCTGCACTGGCTGGTTAGAGAACCCTCAGTATATTCAGGTCTTTCCTCTTCAGCTGATCAGATTTTCTAAGGAAGTTTGGCCAGAAACTATGCTGCCAGTGTTGGGGGGGTGGGTCTCCTCAGCCTGGAGATTTTGACTTATCCTGTTTTCAGGTAGGCACCCACCCTGGACTTGCATGCTGTCCCTCAGGAATGTGGAGAATATACCCCAGGTTTCTGTTAGGGTGAAGTGGGTAGGGCACAATCACCAGGCTGTGCAGGGTCAGGGTACAGGGTAGAGTTGGAGGTCTGAGTCTTAGGTCGATGTCCCAAAGGCCTTTCCTCCTGTTCTTGAGTTTGGAAGCTCTGGGATAGCATCAGGCTTTTCCTCAAGCACACTCCTAGCCCAGGATTTGCTCTCTCAGGGCAGCAGGCTGTCCTCGCCATCATTCCAGCTTCCAAAGTCTTGTCGCTGTTTATTCTTCCCTTGTCTCTTTTTAATCCTTTGTTTTCATTTCAGTAGAATTTCAAGAGAGATTAGAAATACATTTGTTTTTAGTCTACCATCTTTAAGAGAAGTCTATACAAATGTAAAATATGCTTCATGAAGCTGGGCTTACTGCTATAATCTCAACACTTGGGAGGCTGAGACAGAATTACCATGAGTTTGAGAGTAGCCTGGTCTTAGCCTGACTTAGCTTAGAAATTAATAATAAATTATGCTTGGTATAGTATTTTATAATGTGGATTCCTTAATGTACAAGTGTGTAGTCCCCACTTCAGAAGCTTACAGCATAACCTGCTGTTTGGTTGACTTTGTTCTTTGGTTTGGGTTTTATTTGTTTGTTGTTTGTGTTGGAGTGGGGTTTTTCATTTAGTTTTGTTGAAGCAAATGTGTGGTCTCACCATGTAGACCAGGCTGGCCTGGAACTCAAAGATCTGCCTGCTCTTACCTCCAGAATGCTAGAATTAAAGGTATATGTTACTGTGCTTGGTCATTTCTCTCTCTCTCTCTCTCTCTCTCTCTCTCTCTCTCTCTCTCTCTCTCTCTCTCTCTCTCTCTCTCTCCCTCCCTCCCTTTCCCTGTGTGTGTCTGTGGGCTACTGATTTGATACAGACTACCAAGTCAGGAAAAACATTTCCAAATACAGTATTCCCAGGAAAAGAACAGCAGTTGCCTTTGTGGTGTGCTCTGTGGTGTGGCCTACATGCTTTTCTGTGCAATGGAGTTTTTTGTTTACTTTTGCTTGGTTGATTTGTCCTGATGATTAAGATACATTAACTAAAGAAAGGAGAGAAAGAAGAGGCCAAGGAAAGATACAGAAAAGGCTAAAAGAAAAAAACGGCTACGTAATGGGACCTTGAGTTAAACTCTTCCTTGAGTTTAACTATGGTGCAAGCTTTCTGAAATACACCACACGCCTTTACCCTGAAAGTAAGAAGTAAGCTGACAGCAGCAGTGCATGGTGCTCTTCCTGCCCCTGCTTAGCCTTATGTCTGTAAGCCAGAATCCTTATGTGGGAAGATATCTTTAATGATATGATATAAATTAATGGGAAAAGAGAATTTGATTTAGAGAGATTTATTATAAATAGCTTTGAACACATCTCTGAATGAAATTGAGTATGCCATTTAATCAACATTTTTGTTTCTTCATTTTGCTCATGAATCTTTAAAGCTAAATCATTTTAAGTGTTTATCTCTGAATTTGCAATTCAAAAAACATTTTTATTGCAGAAAGTTTATTTGATGCTAAGCAGAAGTCCTTAGCTCAGTTTTTCCATGAATGCTTTTAATACCCGTTGTTTATTTTGTTGCCTCCAGCCAACGCAAGAACTGAGGAACGTTCTGAGCAGCCTGCAAGACTCAAGCAGAAGCACAGAGGGTATGGTTAATTTTGTATTTGAATTCGTTCCCTTGAGAACTGCAAGTAAAAATCATTGTGGAACATGTAGGAAGGAATGAGTCTCTGAAACACCTCCCACCTCTTGGTCTTCATGACCTGGCATTTTTAGCTATAATTTTTCCCCTGATTTATTTCTATAATTACAAGTAAATATACACCCAACCCTGAACAAAAGTTTTGTCCGCCACAGCAACCTGGACTAGTGAGTCCTGCCTTCCTGGAGTCCTCTGTGAGAAAACACGAACACAAATGACAGTTTATCAAAAGAGACGGAGACAAAAGGAAGGTGGTTGAAGTGTGTGATTAATCATCCCTAAGTTACCATCACTCATCTAAATTCATGTTGTCTTTCAAGAGTCTCTCCCCTTACTTGGCCGTCACTGTCACTACGCCAAACTCAGTGGCATATAATAAATGTTCAAGATACGTTTTATATGAGTGGAAAGGGAAAATGTGCTTTGTGTTTAGAAAATACAATGGGCTCTTACTATCCTAGATGACAAATGTTTTCTCCTTTAAGAATAGCTTTAAGGTGGCCATGCTGGCTCATGCCTGTAATGCCTTGTTTCAAGGCCAGCCTGGACTACAAAGGAAGACCTTTAAAAAGGGGAGTGGGGTGGGGGCTTAACTAAGGATCGTGAAGTCATGTGGAATAGAGCCAAGTAGCTAGTGATCTGAGGAACAGAATAGAACTGTCCCATGGTGAGCTCAGAACAAAACTATATTTGCTCTCTCGTGAGAGTTAACAAGTGATCAGAATGTGGTCGGTGTTAAAAGGGGATCAAGGATCCATCTTTAATCGGCAAAAATGCCCAAAAGGAGGTGACCTGATGCCATGGGCGTTGCAGTAGAGTTTGGCAGGAAAGGGGGGGTACTAGGAAAAACTGGAGGAGAGTAACAGTGGGTGGATATGATTAGCATACATTTTATAAATGTATGAAAGTTTCAAAGAATAAAAGAATACTATTTTTTAAAATACAGTAAGAAAAAACAAATATAAATGCCAGTTGGAGTCGTACTTCTTCATGAGGGTCACTGTGAAGTCACTGTGTATGTTGCCTTCTTGTTTTATTGATATTTAGTTTAATTATTAAATTGCTTAACTATGAATTCCCTTCCTGGCCTTGTGTACACAGCAGTCACCTCTGACTCGTTAGCTGCTGGAACTAATGTCACATCTGTGGATGAGCCGGCCAAGAAGGAGGAATGTGGGCAGTCGTGTCTTTCTCTAACAGAGGGAGAACAGGTTACAACAGCACCGCCAATAACCGCGGCAGAATGGGATAACCCTGGCATCAAACTACAGATCGCCGCAGTCCCCAAGTAAGCAAGCTCTGCCAGGCCTTTGATCACAGACCTGTCTCTAGTTGAGCAGTTTTCTTTGCACCCATTCAGGGAAGCAGTAGTTTGTAGACACCTCTGCCTCAGATCCAGGGGACCACAATGTGAGGTTAGGTCAGCAGTTTATCTCAGAGAGCGCTCGTGACCCTGAAAAAGCTATGAGGATCAGTGCCGAAAGGAGATCCAGGATCCATCTTCAGTTGGTTATAGAGGTTAGAACCATTGACAGGCAAGTCACATGGCCCCTCCTCCCACCCTGAGAAGACGTGACTGCAGAGTCCCGGGTGCTGGCCTGGGTCCACACCCTCCTAGCACTCACTCCCGAGTTAGTGTGGGAGAGAAGGGCATGGCCAGCCCTGTGAGAACTAGGCAATGAGGATGTTACAGTCAGAGACTTCTAGAACCTTCTGTTTCCTACGAGCTTATGTTCAAGGCAGAGCTGCACAGTTATTTTAAGGCAGTGTCGCAGTGTATCAGTGTCATTTCTCTTCTCTCATCATGATTCTGAAGGGACTCGACACAGGAGCACCAGCTCAGTGGTGTGTCTTCTTCCCTGGAAAGCACAGCTAGACTAGCCCCTTAGCTGACTTCGCCCCACTACTATTGGCTCACGGATGCTTGGGAGCAGTCAGTCAGTCAGTCTAAAGCTCGCCTCCCGCTGGCTCCAGAAATATTATTATAAGCACTTTTTAGCAGACCTGCCTGCTAGTTTTGCATAAGCTAATGCGGCCAGTGGTTTTGTGAATTTTGGATCGGTCATGTATACAAAACTTGCTCCCTGAATGCTTTGGGAAGTTTACAAGGAAGATTCCCAGTTGTTCAGTAATACATGGTTTGGTCCAGCATCTTAATAGATTTTGAGTAATCTGTAGTCAACACTGGAGGGACTCTTAGAATCAAGTTTTGTGGTAGGCCAGTTTCCATTCTCACCCTGCAGCCATAAGATGTAATGCTCACACCATCCAGCGCTTCCTGAGCATCAGGGAAAGCCACTGTGGGTTGAGAACTACTCCAGATTTGTCCCTTGCTCGCTTACAGTGAAGTAGCCATGATTTATTGTGGAGTAAGAAGCAAAGAGTAAAAACAGAATGTTGCCATAGCTCTGAACGCGTCCTTTGGTCTCTTTAAGAATATGTGGCATATATGGTATATATATTCAGAATATTTGGTATATTCCAGAATATATGGTATATATTTCAGGATATGTGGTATGCCAGAAATGCAAGACATGAAGCTTATCACTCCCGTGAGGCGCTCAGCGAGGATCGAGAGAGCAGTGGCCCGCTACCCAGAAATGCTGCAGGATCATGACCTTGTGGTGGCTTCTCTTAATGAGCTCCTGGAAGTGGACAAAACAGAGTACTTTGTCTTCCGGGAAAATGAGGCTTTACCTGTGACACTAGGTTTCGAAATCCTTGAATCATGATCTTTTGATTTTTTTTTTATTTAATGAGTTTTTTCCAGGGCTTGTATGAGATAAGAGATGCTCTTGTCAAGAAGGCCTGAGGTAAGAGATGCTCTTGTCAAGAAGGCCTGAGGTAAATGTGCATGGAGACGCCAGGGTGCAGAGCAGAGACTTTGTGTCTGAGGAAGCAACGCGTGGGTTTACTCTCACACTGTATATCCCATGGAAAACTGTGGCTCGTGTGTTTGGTTATATACTTTGTGATAGTTTTTCGGCATACATAAGTTTCGGAGTATCAAATATTTTATCTCAAATGTAGAAAAGAAAAACCATACTTTGTTGATCTACTGTAATTCTATTTTTGAACCCAAAGGTTGATGCTGTGGGGTGACTGACTGTTCTTTTGCCATCCACCTTACCTAGGAAGGCAGATGCCTCGGGTGGGAAGATTTGAGTTTGAAACCAGCTCACCAGGCGGGATGGTCGAACCTCACACATCAGGAAGGTTAGGTTAGCCATGCCTTCACTCGGTTTCCAGGTGACATTCATGGAGTCCTTTGACCTCTGTCACAGTGACCCTATAGGTGAGGGTGACTCGTGTCCTCGCTGAGTGGGTCTCCTCTAGTGAAGCACAACCCAGAGTTTCGTGGCTAGCCGGGTTTTTCTTGGACACAGTCCTCATTTTGCCCTTGTTATTCAGAAATGCTTCAAGTGAAAAGAGAAGTTGTGGAGACACTTGCTGCATACATTGTTTTCAGGAGACTCAGCCTGAAGAGACTGTGAATCCCAGAGACTATGGCAGGGGTTTTTCTTCTCCTTGGGTTTTTCTTCTCCTCTTAGAGAGGAAAACCAGAATTGTTTTGTAAATATAATGTATAGAAAGCCTACTTGGTACGTTTTAAATTTCAGCCTTGTTACTCTTATTACTAAGTAATATCTAAAATAAATAAATAAATAAAAATTAAATAGTTGTTCATTCCTGCTTGTTCGCTTCATTATAGTGGTGGCTTAGCGAGAGACGTCGGGGTTTCTCAGGGCAAACACTGATGGATACCCCAAGAACCATGTGGAGTACATTCATAGCCTGATTAAAGGGTCTGACCCTGAGCCTCCTGAGGAACTGGATTTTGCTGTGAGGTAAACAGGTCCACCTCTCAAGGTCGTATAACATTGATTCATAAAACTGACCTAGAAAACCTTCATGCCAGAGGACTAGCCCTCCGTGAGAGACAGATGTCCCTCTCCACCGGCATGCAGGAAACCATGCAGCCCGATTGGAGGGTTGCATAATGGCCACAAGACTTGGAGAAGCATTCAGATCAGCAAGCTCGAGGCTGAAGCAAGGCCCTTCGGGGAAGAAGGAACTTGCCTCCAAGCTCTGCCTCCAGCTTCAATCTTCGCAGGCCCTCAGGACCTGCAGTCCCCTCTGCTAGAGTGGCTCGCTCGCCTGCACCCTCCTCCCAGCCTGAGAACCAACCTGACTGTGTACGGCTTCATTCCTCAGAACCACTGTTTGCCGCTGGAGCAGTTTGGCCTTCTTCTTCTCCAGTTCCTTGCAGGATGCCTGCCGGTCCCTCCCTGACTTCTGACAGTACAGTGTGGGTTGGACTGGTAGTGTTTGGTCATGTTTAGTTTCAAAAGGACTAACTGGAGGGTTTCCAAAGCCTGACCAGACAGACTAAATGGAGCCTTCTGGTCATGAGAACAATTGGGGATGCTACGACTACAGAAAACCACCGTGCTTCGGAAACACTTCGTAGATGTTTATTAAAGCTCGCATTTACTGAAGGAATATGTCCTGACGGGGGGGGGGGGGGGGGGGGGGGGGGGGGGGGGGGGGGGGGGGGGGGGGGGGGGGGGGGGGGGGGGAGTAGGAGGAAAGGCTACAGCCCCTAACAGCCTGGGAGGCAGGAATGTGGGCCTTTGTGTGGATGCAGCTCCTGGGGCTTAGGGATGGCTTTTTAGAGGGGATGATTACAACATGACTCTTGAAAGCTAAGGAGGATCGTCTCTGCCACCACGCTACCGCTGTACAGAGTGACTGAACCAGAGGACATGGAGACGCATTTACAGTCTTTGCTGCCAAGGCACTCAGCTGAGTCTTCACCGTACAAGAAAACCACTCTGAACATGTTATTTCCAGGAAAGGTCCCGTTTCTTTACTGTCACCTTCCCATCCCCCAGTCTAAATGGTGGGGGTACATGTGACCATGCCTGAACAACCAGAGCCCTGCATCACCACGACAAGGCACACTGGCTGGAGGAGGAGTCACGCCAGACTTATTGGGAAGAGACATCCTGATGGAGCTGCTGAACATGCATGATGCAAATCTAAGGTCTAAGATTAGCTATCTTATTTACCTTATAGACAAAACCTTCTGGGAAATAGTCCCAACACAAAACAAATCATGTTATATCAATGACACGATAGCTAATGTTACGCATGGAGCTGGCCTGACCCTGGGCTTTCAGCTATAGGAGCTAGTAAATTCCCCTTTTCCCTAAACTCATTTTGTTAGGCCTCACCGGTTGCTAATAAAGTCCTGATTCGGCGCTTGCTTCCCACACATCCTCTCACTAACTGTGACACAGACAGGAAAACCATGGATGATGTGATGGTTTAAATAAGAAAGGCCTGAGCTGGGGAGATGGCTCCAAAGAACTCAGGTTCATTTCCCAGCACCCACATGGTGGCTAACCATCATCTGTAACTCCAAGAGGATCCAATGCCCTCTTCTGGTACTTCTGTGGGCACACACACAGGGAAAACACCCATACACATAAATAAAAATATTTTTAAAAAAATTAAAAAGCCCCCACAGGCTCAGATATTTGAATGCTTGTTCCGCAGTTGGTAGAACTGTTTGGGAAAAATTATGAGGTATGGCCTGGTGTGTCTCGAAAACAAAAATTTTAATTAAAAGTATACTATGTAAGCAAGAGGTGACTGCCAGTGTCTGCCACATATTCCTGGGAGTGATGTCATACATCTCTAAAATAGAGAAAAATGAGTATAGATTTAAAAATAAAATCTGCAGCATATGAATAGCCCTCGGGTTGAGGTCTCTGTCATACTCTTATCTTGCCCCAGACAAGTCCCTGAGGGTAGAGTCCCAAGTCAAAACTTTATCATCACCTATCCCGCTTCCTCTTTCTTACTCCATGTCCTTAGATCCACCCCTTCCCCTGCAGTTCTCCAAGGCAACACAGAACTTCTCATTCAGTAAAATACCCAGGATGCTGCAGACACCAGGAATAAGGAGGGCAAGCCAAAGAAAGTGGCCCGACCCCAATGCTGAGGGGCCAGTGGGGACTTGTAATCAGAGTCACAAATGTATGTTTAAGTCCCCAAAAGAGCTGTTTGTGGTAGGAGCTGAGACCACACAGATCTAGCCAGGGTAGCCGCAATGCCCTGGCCTAAAGAGGAGCAGGAGAAACTGAAGAGACGGGAATGTTCTAGGCCAGGGGAAGCTGTATAAAGGCACTCTGGCCACCTCATCTCCCTGTTTCTCTTCTCTCCTCTTTCCTTTTCTCTCCTCCCTCCCTGAACCCCTCAGGTACTTTCAATATTTTGTACAACAACCCAGGAGGGAAATCCTCTGAGATTTTGTAATCTTGGATTTACAGTGGATTGACCTTAAGGGATAAGCAATCTAACCAAAGAAATACTACGAGCCCCTCAGGAATGCATTAGTGTTTAAAGACACAAAGCCAGAGAGGTGCCTAGTCTTCCTGGAGTGGGACCTTGTAGACCGTGGAGCCCAGAAGTACTTCTGGGAGGAGAGAGCTGAACAGGGCCAAATCTGGATGTTTCTGAAATACACAGGAGAGACCAAGTGACTCCCTGAGTGTGTGGCCTGTGCCCCTCCCCCATCCTCAGACATCTAAATGCTCACCCTTCTGACCCACAAAGCGAACCTGGAGAACTGCACGCTCAGGCCTGTCCCTTAAGGGTTCATTCTGTCATCTCCAGTGGGTAGGGTCAGTCTGAGCCGCCACATGATGGCAGCTGTCCCCACTAACACAAAAACTGAACGCTAGGAGGGAATTAAAGCCAGGATCTCAGAACACGGAGGCTGCATGAAAGGCTCCTAGCAAGATAATCCAGTTATGAGGATGACTTTTGATGAGTTCTGATGCATATATGAATCATCTGCCACAGTGGCTGGAGGATGACAGAAGAGAGATGCTCCTGTCTGATGAGACAATCCTGCCTAATGAGACAAGCCGGCCTAACAAGACAATCCGGCCAAGCGGGTTTTAGAAATTTTGAAACACAGAGTTCACAGAAATACTCTTTTTAAAAGACATATTTAGAAATAAAATTGTATGTGTAACGTGATGCAAGCCTGGAAGAACTAATTAAAATATCTCCACTTCTTGTCACACACATTTCCAAAAAAGCCATCAAGGACGCCTTCTAAGGCAATAGCAATAATGTCCCCCAAAAGAATCCTCAGGCTCCAAATCAGTCCAATAAGAGTTTTTAATGCGGCCTGATATAGTGGTGCACACCTTTTATTCCAGCACTCGGGAAGCAGATGCATGCAGGTCTCTGTGAGTTCAAGGCCCACCTGGTCTACAGAGTGATGATGTGGGAGTGTTATATATCAATCTGTTGATTTCATTGGTTAAGTTATAATAAACCAGCTGCTTGGCCTCATGGCTTGGAACATAGATGGGAGGAGTAAACAGAATAGAATTCTGGGCGGAAGAGGAAGTGAGGTCAGACTCTGCTCAGCTCCCGGAAAGACCAGACAGCTCTGCTGGAGCAGAGACACCAAGATGGACGGAGGCTAGACTCTTCCCCGTAAGCGCACCTTGGGGTGCTTACAACATCATTAGAAATGGGCTAGGCCAGGTGCGAGAATTAGCCTGTAAGGGTTAGAGTCCATGGGCCAAGCAGTTCTTAAATGAATACAGTTTGCGTGTTGTTATTTCGGGCATGAGCTAGCCAAGCGGCCGGGGTGTTGGGGACGCAGCCCCGCCGCTCCTATTTCAACAGAGTGAGTTTCAGGATAGCCAGGGTTACATAAAGAGACCCTGCCAAAAAGACAAAAAGAAAAACTAACAAGCAAGCCAAAAAGAGATTTCGATACATTTGCCTTTCCCTTTTTTCCTACATTTCCAGTTACCGAAAAAAAAAATACTTCATGATGCCAGCCTATGTCCAGGACTTAATCTGCTCCGATGCCACCAGCCTTGTCCTCGGTCTGTCTTCTTTCTCTGGGCCTTAGAAGAAACAAAGAAAGTGGCATGGAAAGTAACTGCCCAGCGTGGCCAAAACATGTCAAAATGCCTTAGTCTGGACAATGATAAAAGCTGAGAATCAAAGACACATTTTCAGGAAGAATCCACGGTAATGATGGAAGTGATCCCACCACTGGGGGCGGAGAGGAAAAAAGATGCCCAAGGCACAGGGTCAAGATCATGACTGCCCTGGCCTCCTGGGTGTCTCCTGAGCAGGACTAGTTTACAGTCTTTTTCCCTTCCTGCTCTACACTGCCACCAGGCAGGAGGCACTCGGCACACAGGACAGACACACTGCATCTGCTCACACCCAGTGAGGAAGGAATTTTTAACAGGCAAGTCCAAGAAGTGTCGGTGGAAATAAGGTCCCTCGTGACAGCAGGAGCCCCAGCCCTGAACGCTAATGACACCTCCTCCTTGATGTGGTGTCAGGGTGAAAATAAGGTTCCCCCGTGTCGAAAGACACCTTCGTTGATGTCTAAAGACTCCAGCTCAGGAGAACACACACCGACTCTCTCCCCCGGAGCAGAGAGGACGGGTTCGGGTGATGGATCAACAAGCAGTTGTCTGTGAAGGTACCAACAGCTGGCTGTTGAGCAGATATATTGGGGCCCTGAAAAACCTAATGTCCCTAATATTGAAAGCAAAATCCCAATACTAACCTGAATTGGAATTCATAAACAATATCAGTATTTCCATAACTTAAAAAAAAACAATATACTTCTCTAATCAAACATGAAAATTAAAAATGAAAGAATTTATCATTGTATTGCTGCATAAATATGAATTCCTATATTGAAAACAGAAGGTCTCTCTCTGTGCGTGCCTCTGTGTTGGCCACTACTGCTCTATTCCACGGTACCCACAAGCCACAGAGTTTCTCAGCCACAGTGAAATGGTTCCTCCCAGCTCTGCTGTAGAGAGCAAAGCCCACAGCCTCCCAGTCCTCACTTTCTGACTATAGAAGAGGAAGCTGGAGACAGGGCGGATCCAGGCTAGCCCATCCTTACTCTACAACCAACCTGTGAGGCATCTGTTGGGATGAACAAGGATGGAGATGAACTCCCAAGGCTTCAGAGATCTGCATCACTCCTTACCCACAGTGCTCGGTTCCCGCCCACAGACGCTGCAGAAAGAGCCCACAGAGAGCACAGCGCAAGAAACCTTCTGGCAGCTAAGCTCCAGAAAGCCCTGTCTCCCGTGAGCCTTTGCTTATGTGATCACAACCATCCTCACTTCCCTGAACTTAACCCAGGAGCTAGGGTCTCCTAGTAGGACACCAGCCACAGCCTTTCCTGGATCATCTCCTGCTTGGTCCCCAGAAGCCACTCAGTACATGCCTGCTAAGGGAAAGGCTGAGCTCCTTCCCTTACTACGGGCATCGGTCCCCCTGGGAGGAGTGAGTGGACCTCACTCTAAGCAGGGGAAAAAGTTAGACACGGGGAAGACTGTCCTCTGCAGGACCATCTTCCCTATGAAAACCTCACTCCTGCTTTGTTTTTAAGAGTTGTGAACCAGTATCTATCTGAAAGGTTCTGACCCCACGGTGTCTACAGGTTGGTTAATAGGCCTGAGGACCCTGCAAAGTCCTGAAGGAGAGGGAACCAGTGAGTCCTTCCTGGGTGGAGAGTCAGGGATGCTCAGGGAGATGCATCAGAGACTCACCAGCTTAGGGACGGCCCAAAATAGCAAGCTGAGTGGGAAGTGCAGGAAGTTGAGGCAAGCGGTGGTATAGAGGACGGCTTAGCTGGCCTAGAGAAGAGACTGTGAGGGGAGCCACAGTGGAACAGGCTGCCCCGTCATGCTGCCTCACAGGTCTAGCTCCTGGGTTACCCTCTGACTACGGATCCCAGCCAGCTCCTTCGGTACCACCGTTGGCACTGAGCCTGTACCCTGAATGTGACCCCGGATGGGGCCAGGCCAGCCAGCCCTGCCCCTGTCCAAACCCCCTGGGGACTGAGGCTTGTGCCCACCCACAGGCCGCACACAAGTCTTTTGGGTATCTGGGCTTGACTGAGTGACTGGTTGGTTGTTTGGTTTCTTTGTGTGTTTGTTTTAAGCCAGGATCTAGATTACGTACCTTAAACTAGCTTAGAACTTGCAATTCTCCTGCCTCAGCACTCCAAGTGATAAGATTACAGGCTTGTGCCACCATACCCAGTGCTCATTCTGTGGGGTTTTTATTTTCAGTGCTGGGCTGTGCCCCCGACTTTTAGAGACAGGCTATCTCTCCACTTTGCTCAGACCCTGCTCCTGCCTTTCCCCCAGTGTGACCTGCCTGGCTCAAAATAGTGATCAACCAGGTCTGAAGACAGCAGAGGACGAGGCAAGAGCCACCTGCGCACCCCATAGTTATGCCCTGACGGCCCCACAACTCTCCTCCAGCCTGCTTTTCCCATCTCTGCACCTCTGTCTCCTCAACTGTAAAACCATGAGCTTCTTGTTGTTTGTTTGTTTTTTGTTGTTGTTGTTTGTTTTTTGAGACAGGGTTTCTCTGTAGCTTTGAAGCCTGTCCTGGAACTAGCTCACAATTGTAGAGCAGGCTGGCCTCGAACTCACAATGATCCGCCTGCCTCTGCCTCCCGAGTGCTGGGATTAAAGGTGTGTGCCACCACCGCCCGGCTAACCATGAGCTTCTGCCAGCCTACCTGACCCTACCAAGGGGACACTCAGATGTGTCACCCTACACTCAGAGTGCTACACTCTAGGTGTCTTAAAATTTAAAATCTGCAAATGGCTCTGCCAAGGTCCTTCATTGTCACTGGTGTGGCTGAGCCTAGGATTTCCTGGAATTCTAGATTTGCTGGACCCCTTCTGCCTAAAGGTCTGTGGGAATCTCCCAGCTTCACGGCTCAGTAACGCCACAGGGAATGTTTTCCTTTTTTCTTTTCTTCTGAGACCCATCAGCTCACTGACCCAGAATCCCACTCTCTCAGACCCCTTTCTCCAATGGCCCCAGACATCCATCACAGCTATATAATCAGCCCCAAGAGGCCAAGCCCGGAAGTCAGGCGTGCCTGAGGGGTGTTCACGGTGAGGACTGAGAGGGGTCAATGAGAGGCAAGTCCCAGAAACCCTTCCACTACAACATGTGGCGGTCATTTAGATTAATAACCAGCAGAGGGCACTGTAAGACAAGCTCAGGAGACACTTAGGCAAAGCTGGGGAAGCCAAATAGCTGGGCATAATAAATGGAGACAAATCAGACCTAGATGAGCAAGGGAAGGCTCATTCATCTCTTCCGGAGTGTATCTATCCTCGCCCACCACATAGCGCTTACCTGAATCTCCTTCTTGGAATTGATAGCTCGTAGCCCACAACTGCTCCATCCTGGTCCAAAAACAGCAACATGATCCAGGAGAGGAGAAAAATATGACCTTCCTCAGCCCCATATAGGGAGGTGCACAGAGAACAGTAGGGGATACAGAGCTTAAAGAGTGGGAGTCAGAGGAGGGGGGGAACCCCTCATGGGCTGTGTGTGCACATGCACGAAAGAACAGGCCCCCGTTCTTTTCTAACTCTGCCCAGTGAGTTAGAAAAGGCTCAGAGTGAAGCACAGTGGGTGTTCAGTGGGGTCACTATGGAAATCTGATCCGAAACACATCCTCCTGGTTTCTGTGTGAGCTCAGGACACCAGCCCTCATCCCTCACCCTGACCACCCAGGAAAGCCAGCAGCACGCTGACTGGTACAGACCTGCCAGGTGTGTGTGTCTAGCCGCTCCAGATGCTCTGGCGGCTCTGAAGAACGGGGACAGGAGACGGCAAGGGTAAGTGACAGCCTTGGGTTACCCACTGTCCACAGTCACTTTTGTGTCAGCTCCCAACCAGAGGCTTATGACCCCCCCCCCGCCCTCCCCCCAACGAAAGCATCCATCGTCCCCTTAAGTTAGATCAAGAAGCAGCAGCATGGGACATGTATAACAGGTGACAGAAGCTCTCAGGGAGTCAGGTGACGGGGCCAGCCTTCCAAAAGTCACAAGGCAGTGACTCAAATCCAACAGCGCTTACAGCACACCTGGAATTGTTTGAGCGCAAAGCAAGCCAGCCCTGGTCTCTCCTGGGTGAGCAAGTGTGCCTGTCCCACACACTAAATCCTCAGGGAAGGTGGGGAAAGAGCAAGAGAATGCCCACCCCGGAATTATCTTGGGGACCTCGAATCAGAAAATGGGGACCCCCCCCTGCACTGTGTGATTTTGGACACATTTTTTTTGTTTTTGTTTTGTTTTTTGTTTGTTTGTTCAAGATAGGGTTCCTCTGTAGCTTTGGAGCCTGTCTCAGAACTCACTCTGAAGACCAGGCTGGCCTCAAACTCAAAGAGATCCACCTGCCTCTGCCTCCCAGGTGTTTGGATTAAAGATGTGTGCCACCACCACCCAACTTGGACAAACTGCTTAAAGACCTCTGCTTCTTTGTGTAGGAGAACCCATCTCCTCCCGTAAATCACGTAGTGGATGAGATTCCCGGCACAAAGAGGGGAATACAGCAGGCCTCCTGGCTCACCCTTCTCTCTCGCCCAGATGCTCAGCTCCCAGGACAGCTCAGAAACCCTGAGGTAAGTACGCCAGCCCTGCACAGAGATCCGCCTGCCTCTGCCTCTGCCTCCCGAGTGCCCGGCCTGCAATTTCTTAAATTTGACAAAGATATGGTCTCCGGTTACAGGATATCCTTGCCCTACTCTGTGAATCTTCCCCTACGTGTCTGATGAGCCAGCTGAAGCAAAGAATGACAAATGCGTGCTCACAGTTCTGCCCTGGGACGGAAGCTAGGGGGCGCTGATGGCATAGCAGACAGTGCCTGAAGCTGGTACCTCTAGAGTAAACAGCACAGGGCTGGCGGGGACCAGCAGAGGTACCCACACAGAACTTCCCAGAATCCTGGAGGGGAAGAGGAAGCCCGGAGCCAAGAGAGCTGTCCTCCCTGATCATAGAGGGCTCAGGAGATCGATAGATCTGTGTGGTAAGACTAATGGCAGGTTCAATGTCACCAGGTCCTAAAGTAGTCTCCTGGATTCCTGTCTCCAGGGAGCCTCCCCTCCACGAAACACAAGACATCAGCAACTGTCATTACTGTTTTGACTTATCTCAGGACCGTCCCTTCTAAAAAAATAAATAAATAAAAAGCAGGGCTTTTGTGTGTCTACCACAATTAGGTCAAAATAGGCCCTCCAGGTTTGGGGTGAGGCCTCAACCTATGGGACAGGGTACAAGAACATGGGCATATACAAGAACACACACAGCCCAAGAAGTGAGACCTGCAGCAGGCTGCCCTTGCCCAGCAGCCTCCAAGGCTAATGAGACACCTGGGCTCACTGGGCTCAGGAACCTGGAGGTCTCCATCCACAGCATCCCTAGCCAAGCTGGGCGGTAAAGACCAATGGTGACTGGGGGCGGGGGGTTATTCTCATGTGAATTTTGTTGTTGTTGTTGTTTTGTTTTGTTATTTTGAGACAGGATTTCTCTGTAGCTTTGGAGCCTGTCCGGGAACTAGCTTTTGTAAACCAGGTTGGCCTTGAACTCACAGAGATCCACCTCCCTCTGCCTCCCAAGTGCTGGGATTAAAGGCGTGCGCCACCACCGCCGGCCTTCTCATGTGAATTCTTAAATAAACCTCCAGAGATGCTCATGGTGAAGAACCCCAGGAACATAGGACCGCAGTTACCATCCACCTAGCCATTCTCAACCAGAGCCCAAGGCCTGCCCCTTGATCTCCTGGACCTGCTGGACATTTAGTTCACCCCACCCAAGTCCTCCCCAAATATCTTACTATCTCTTCGCAGACCTTTGAGGAGTACAGAAGTGGTCTTGCCTCGCCACTCGGAGACTCCAGAGAGACCCACCATGGAAAAAGACCACTGCCACGCCTCCTCCTCATGGACTAAGAGAGGCCGCCCCTTTCTGCATTATATACCCATCCATGCCAACCTAAGACACGTGCCTCACAGTCATGATGGCCTGGTAGGGACAGGGCAGGAATCAAGGGTCGACCTAGCTAGGCCAGAGAGTGTCCAGCCTCTGCCTCCACTCCATCATCCCCTATTCTGGGCCCTCAGGCACAAGTGGTAGGGAAATGGGGGTAGAAAGACCAAGGAATTAGAACCCAAGAGAGGGTGATGGGGGTAAGAAGGCCTTTGTTCCTCCTCTTCAGTATCTCAGCATCCCTTGGGGCCATAAAGAAAACTAGAGCCTCCCTCCCCACCCCACTCCCAGGTGCACACACACACACACACACCAGTATAGTTGCAGTCACTGTTGGTGGCCAAAAATCCTTTCCCAATCCCATTCACCTTGCCCAGCAAGATGGAGACTCATGCCTGGGGCAAAGAAATGATTTCCCAACCTCCCAGCACAGGGCCTCCCAGGGCTCTGCTGGCATCTCCTTCATGGGTTTCAAGCCCTGGATGCCACCCATAACCTAGGTTCCATAGTAGAGAGTCAGAGGCGTGTGTAAACCCTGAGGGAGACGAGCAGGGCCGGGAAACGGGGACAAATGAGCCAGTAGGATCTGGGATCTGTGGCCACTCCGATCCTTCTCCATGCATTCTTTCAAGACCTCCAGAGTCTTCCTGTGAAGCAGCCCTACAGGAGAGAACAGCTGTGTCCCTGCATGTGCAGACGTATGTGCACGCATACACACGCATGCGTGTCCACACCTACCTACATGTCTAAGATAGTGGGCGGTGGCCCAGGAAGCATGGGCCCAACTCCTCAGCAGAAAATGGGGTATGGGGTATAGAAACTGGAGGTATGGGGAGTGCTCAGGAACACCATGGACAGACAGATCAGAGATCCTGGGGGTCCAGGCACTTGATGACGGGTAGACATGTCATCCATCAGTCACATCCTAGGAGAGGCTTCAGAAGGACACAAAGAGTTCCCATGGTGATCACCAGTGACACAATGGGACAGACCACAGAGGACAGAGTAAACTGATAAGAAGTGACCACCATTCCTGGATCCTGCACCAGAGTGGCCCCTCCCACCTCACTGGGGCAGCCTGGGCTTATGCCCCAATTATCTGGAGAAGGAAGTCACCCTGAGCTGAGAGTCACCCTCGGGGTCAGCCCCTGGAGCCCCTCCAGCTCGGGATGAGGAACCCCTTCCCCTTGATGGGGCCTCCATTTGGGGGGTTGGCACCCAGACAGCAGCGCCCCATTTGTCAACCTAGGTTGGACCAGGTGGGACACAGTGTTATAGAAACATCTGGAGAGGAAACCCCCTAGACATGCATAGAGGTAGGTTTCTGGGAGGGGAGGCTGGGCAGGCAGTGGTCCACCAGGCCGCGGGCAGGCCCCTCACCTGGCAGATGGAAGAGCATGTTGAGGACATGGAAGCGAGGAATGTCGACCTCTCTGGATGAACTTGCTGGGGTAGAAACTCCATACGTCTGCCCTGGCAGGAGGTGGGGTAAGCCCACTCTCTCTCAGAGCCTCCCAGGGGGCCTGTAGACCTTGGCCATTCTTCCAGCCGCCCCCACCCCTCTGTCCCATCTGGCTAGCATCTGTACAGTCGGCCAGAGCCACTCCTCCCATTCCTCCCACGCCCCCAGTCCTTCCTTTCCCCACCTGCCTCCCCTTCCTCTCACCTCCCACCCACCCCTCTCTCTCTTGTGAAGCCAGGGGCATCCAGCAGCACGTTTCTATGAGAGTCCACCTTCAACAGGTTCCCACAGAGTGAGTCAAATGCCAGCCCTCGGTGGGGGGGGGGGGAGGCTGTGGGATGAGGGTTCCGGGGCAGCCATAGCCCTTCCATGCAGCTGAGCTCCTGCACCTGACAAGCACCACGGGGTCATATGTGTAGGGTCTTATGAGGATACCGGGTGCACACCAGCCATTCCAGTGTCTTACTGCCTGTCCCTTGATCCTCGAGCCCATGCCAAATGCCCTGCACTCCAGCCCTCTCTACCAGCCAGAGTGGAGTCCGTGTTCAGGCTGAAACAACGAGCCTTCTCCAGAGCCAGGGTGCAGCTGACAAAAGTCCTGGGAAAAGGAGAGAGTTGGGATGTTACCCACCACCACCCCCTGCCCCAATCGAGCATCTAAGATCCTGCTGGTAGGGGCCCAGCAGTGGGGCAGAAAGCCCTTATAACTGCAGTTATAAGAGTAAGGTCCAGTATGGCCTCAGCTGGGCCCAGTGTCTCTCCACAAGCATTCCAGCATATGTGATTTCACATGTCTTAGCATGCAAAGCAGGTGCCTGAGTGAAAATGTAGGTGTGTAGAGTGGGTGCGTGTGTCTGAGCATGCATGTAAGAATGAGAACGGGTACACACGACAATGTGTATGCAAAGGTACAGATTGGGTGCATTGCATGTGTTGGAGCATACATGTGCGTATGCTGAATGGGTGCATGTGTGTCTGAGAAAACGTGAGCATACAGAGTGGGCGTTTGTGTCTGTGTGCACATGAGTGTGTCTAACTATGTGTGAAAGGGGGCAGAACGGGTGCATGTGTCTGAGCCTGCGGAACTAACTGGTTTATATGTGAGCATGTGTACCAGTGAGTATACACAGTCAGTAGCTTGCAATCTTCTTGTTTGGAAACATGTTAGGAGCATTCATCTTTAGAAGGAGAGGTGGGGGCTGTCAGTGTAAGGGGTTGACAGTTTCTGAATGGGGTCAGTGTGTCCAAGCCCAGAAATGTGCTTGTCACAATCGGGTAGTGCATGTCACCAGGATGGAGGACAGAGATCTTTGGGGTGTCATAAAAGGGATTCCTACCTGACAAGTCACTGCCATTTACAGAAAAGAATCCCTATGGTACCCATGTCTGATTGTGGGCTGAGAGGAATCATTGTGTGTTGCTGTGGCATATGGAACATTTAGAGACTTATTCACCCTCTTCCCAAATGTCCATCTCACGTCTGGTGCTGGTCATGCATCAGGCCTTGAGAGGAAACCAGGCTTTCCAGGTCCAGGTTTCTGATGGGCTCCTGTGGCTCATGTACAATGGCCATCACCCAGAGTCAAGAGGAGGCAGCGACCCCTTTCCCAGTCCCACTCACGCTATCCGTGTGGCCCAGCCCCCCCCCCCTTCCTCAGCAATTTGGGACCACTCGGATGCATCTGGCCCCATCCTGCATTCCTAACTCCGCTGCCTTCTTTTGAGGGTGGAGTCGATAAAGATGGCTCCGCCATCTCCTCCCTTCTTCAGGACAGACAGCAGTAAGATTCAAGGAAGAACAATTGATCTACCCCAGGCCAATTCCAGGATTTAGGCAGTCAAGGACCTCCTCAATGGAGGCAGTTTGGAAATCAAGCAAACACAGGAGTTACAAGTGAGGATTCTGCGCTTAACGATAAACAATAAAACTATAAAAGAGTCTTTCATAAATACCTAAAGAACTTGGACTCTTTCATACACGAGTCTAGTACCAGTTAATAAACTTCCCAGCTGGAGAACATTAAAGGGGACATGGCCAGAGGGGTGGTAACCGTGGAATGGCAGAATCTCTGGGTAGGGTACCCAAAGGAGACGGCATAACAGAGCAACTGGAACCTAGTATAGAGAGTGACTGGCCTTAATGCCACCCCCAACTGCTTTTGCATCCAGACCAGTAGCCTGGGTCACCCAGGAAGATTCAGATGACAGGCCCAGATTCTTTTTAAAAGGAAGGAAGTTTGGGACTGGAGAGATGCCTAAGGAGTTAAGTGAACAGGTGACCCTTCCAGATGGCGCAGATTTGATTCCCCGCATCTCCTGCAGTACTTCACAACACCCACAACTCCGGTTCCGAGGCATCCAAAGCCCTTTTCTGGCCCCCACAGGCACCAGGTACATAAGCAGTACACAGACATATCTGTGGGCAAAACACCCAGACACAAAAACAAAATAAAATTTTAAATTAAAAAAATGTAAAGAAGTCCAGGTTTGTGATTTATTTTAGAAAATTTTCTCTCCAAAGCAACTAAAGTAAATGAGAAGGAAAGCGAGGCATTTTAAAATGGAGAAGCATTTGAAAACTGGCCTGGGCCTATGCTTAGGGTGGGGTGCTTGCCTGGGATGTGTGAGGCCGAGTTCAGCCCCAGGCCTGCATAGCTGGGCACGGTGATGCACACTGCTACCCCAGCACTCAGGAGGTGAAGGCAGGAAGACAGAAGTTCAAGGTCATCCTCTGCCACACAGAGACTTTGAGGCCAGCCTGAGCTAAATGAAACTATGTCGCTCAAAGCAACAGAGCTGGAGAGGTGGCTCCGTGATGAAGAGTGCCTGCTGCGCGACCCTGAGGACTGGAATTTGAATCCTATGTAACATCCCTTAACAGAATGAGAGGACAGAGACAGAAAAACCAGAAGGCCCAGGTCCAGGGAGAAACCTTCTCAGAAAGGAACAGAGAAGTGTAGTAGAGGAGGACCAATGCCTTCTAAGAAAGCAAGCAGGTACACACTCTGAAAAGAAAAGAAGAAACAAACAAAAAACACACACACACACACACACACACAAAAAAAAAAAAAAAAAAAAAAAAAAAAAAAAAAAAAAAAAAAAAAAAAAAAAAACAAACTCAAAACAAAAAAAATAAAAAGCATGCATGTCTATGGAATGGCTCCAGTGTTAACAATGTCAGATGAGCAGGAGTCCATAGACGATGCTAGGCCCGGCTGAATGAATGCAGAGGCAGGTGGACTCATGCCTACACAGATGGGTGAAGAGTTGGCAGGCTATATATGGCAGCCTGAACTGATGTCATCAGAAGAAAATGGAGCTTCAGAAATGAAGATGTCCAGATAATTTCATGCTACCCACTGAGCTCACTGCTTCCTTCAAGTGCTCTTTCCCACAGTAGACACTTCTCCTTCAGGTCAGAAAAGAGAAACAGGAGGGCCACCTGCTTACGGGAAGTCGTGGGACAGTCCTAAAGTGTCACAACAGGGCTGACGATGCCCCCCCCAAGAGCCAGAGGATATCTAACAAAAATCGCAGCATCAGGCATGAAAAGTCCTGCTTTGAGTTGTTGCTTAGAGTTTTCCAGGACTCCCAAAACACATAGGCCATTGCTATTGTTCTTGGTTCCCCACCAGGCAGAAAGTAAGTCCTTTTTGTCGATGATGCCCTCCACTTCAGACGCAACTCAGAGGCCACCTGAGCTAGACCTGACCTGTTCTTTCGTTCCCAGCTGCCCAGAATAATAATTACACAGAAACTATGTTAATTACAACACTGTTTGGCCAATGTTTACGTGTCTTTCTAGCAAGCTCTTACATCTTAAATTAACCCGTTTCTATTGTTCTGCGTATTGCCACAATGTGGCTTACTGGGTAAGGTCCATCTCCTTCGACAGCTGCATGGTATCTCTTTGACTCCACCTACTCTCTCTATATAGCCCTTCCAGTCTGGCTATATTCTGCCCTGCTATAGGCCAAAGCAACTTTTATTCATCAACCATTGAGCAACACATGTACAGAAGGACCTTCCACATCAGTTTCCGTCTGAGGACTAGCTTTCATGGTACCAGAAGACACATGCAAGCTTCCAAAGGAGGGAAGCAGACAACAGTCCTTCCCAGCTATGATGCCTATGAACCACAACGACCAGCATGGCACAATCTCCCTGAGAGTGCAAGAGAAGCAAACCTTGGTGGTAACCAACAGCTCCCTTATTGGACTTAAGGCCTGCTCAACAAGAGGGAAACCATGCCTGCTACTGGAAACCTAGCTAAATACCCAGGGCTAAGTCATGGGTCTTGGAGGAGAACCTACAACCACTACTTTACTAAACCAGCACAGTCCCTACTATGCTCTGTCCTTATACCTACAGGTAAGCATAGTCTTCGCCCTCCATCAAGGAAACTTCTCTTTGCGGCAGACAGAGACTGTTATAGAAACCACAACCAATCAAAACCCGGAGTTGTAGAGCCTAGTCCCAGTGGATACATCTGCAACACAACCCCTGCTCCTAAGGCTCAGGGAACATTTTGGAAGAGCGGGAGAAATGATCGTAAGAGCTGGAGAATCAGGGAGTTTGCTGTGCGGTTGTGTCTCCTAGGATTGTCAGAGAAGCTATGCCCCTAAAGTCTCTCCAACATGACTGGCTGAACAGGAGCTGAACAGGGACAACAATAGACACGCCAAAGTGTTCAGGAGGTGAAGGGGAGAACCCCACAAGGCCTCAACTCTATACAAAGAACTGCAGGCAGCGAGGGAATGCTCAGAGTGAGAGAAATCATTTTCTTCAGGAAGAGCACACCAATTGGCTAGCCAATAACAAACGGTCAACCCTGAAAACATGAGTACAAGTATCATCATACAGACTGTGCAGGCTGTGTTTAGAAACAGGCATGTATTTATATGCATGTTACAAAAATCAGTTTAAAAGGAGAAGCCAGGGGCTGGAGAGATGGCTCAGTGGTTAAGAGCGTTGCCTGCTCTTCCAAAGGTCCTGAGTTCAATTCCCAGCAACCACATGGTGGCTCACAGCCATCTGTAAAGAGGTCTGGCGCCCTCTTCTGGTCTTCGGGCATGCACACAGAATATTGTATAATAAATAAATAAATATTTAAAAAAAATAAAAAAATAAAATAAAAATAAAAGGAGAAGCCACGAGAGAGATCAAGGAGGGGGTTTAGAGGGAGAAAGGAGAAGTGAGAAACGATGTTATTATCTTCTAATCTCAAAAATCAAAAAAAGACATCACCCAGGTGAGAAGAGTGTGAACTCTCTTCCATAGCGGAACTTGGGTCTGTCTGGAACTCCCCTTGTGTCTGAGGGTAAGGACACCATTTTCTGATGTTCAGAAAGTGTGTGGCTTCAGTGTTTCCCAGGTCACTTCTCCAGTTACACCCCAACTATGCACAATGAGACAAAGTGCTAATTAGAAAGTGTACCATTTTGTGGGTACTAATTGATCTTCACTGCCACAGTTGGGATGGTTGGTACATCCTTGTGCTAAAACCTAATCGCACTGACATGTCCCTTTTGTGTCCTCAGCTGCCTCTAGGCTGTTTGTCTAGACTATAGAGTCCCTCAAACAACTGAAGAGCCCATAGGGTGAACCATGAACTGTTACCACTGTTATCCTAAGGCCCTAGTTGGCCTTGACCTTGAGCCGTGACTCCGAGTGCAGAGACTCACTGCAGTCCAAGCCAACTTAAGAGTATATTTTTGTCATGTATCAGGCTTCATAACTACCCTTCCAGGTGGACCCATCATTTGCAGAATTTAAAAGTGATCAGCTATGACACAGAGTGCTCGAACAACCTTGCTACCCTTACAGGGCTATTGAGTGGCGAAGCGGGGCAACTGGGCACCTATGTCTTTATTCTAAACCACCAGCCAAACCTCCTCTGCCCAAGATCCTCACAAAAGTCCTTTGACTTTTCAATGTCCTAAAAAATCAAGGAAGGCTGGGGAAAGGTTCTAGCTTAGAGACTGAAGAACTAAAACAAACAATTGCAGTTGAGTTCTACTGCAGGGATATAATACAGTGCCAAGGACATTGTTAGGTCTACAAATATAACTGGAATAAGGGTGGTAGATTAAAGGGAAGTGCTGCCTTGGTGTAAACCTAAGACACAGATGACTTTACTGTAGTAATATAAGAAAATATCCCTGGTCTTGGGAAATACTGACTGAAGGATTTAGGATAAGCGTCACAATGTGGTCATTACCTTCGTATGTTTCACAAAAAGCAATCAAGAGATACTTATATATAAACATTTGTACGTAGGCAAACAGGGTGGGGGATGGTGGTAAAGCACCTGGAACAAAACGTTAGCAATAGAAGTCATGGAGATGGCTCAGTGGGTAAAGGGGGGATTGCCACCAAGCCTAGCAACCTGAGCTTGATCGCAGGGACCCACATGGTAGAAAGAAAGGACCAACTTCTGTAAGTTTTAGTCTGATTTACACATATGCACTATGAAGTCTCTTTGCACACCCCCAAATGCGCGCGCGCGCACACACACACACACACACACACACTCACACCAAAAAACAAATAAATGGTGATGTGGGATTCCCC